TTAACATATACAGAGAGGTTATAGATATGTTGTAACATATACAAGGAGGTTATAGTGATGTTGTAACATATACAGGGAGGTTATAGAGATGTTTTAACATATACAGGGAGGTTATAGAGATGTTGTAACACATACACGTAGTTTATAGAGATTGTACATACACTTGTACTTTATAGAGATGTTGTTACATATACAGGTAGTTAATAGCGATTTTGTAACATAATGCAATTAGTTAACAAAGATGTTGTTACATCTACAGGTAGTTTATAGAGATGTTGTAACATATACAGTTAGTTAACAAAGATGTTGTTACATCTACAGGTAGTTTATAGAGATGTTGTAACATATACAGTTAGTTAACAAAGATGTTGTTATATCTACAGGTAGTTTATAGAGATGTTGTAACATATACAGTTAGTTAACAAAGATGTTGTTACATCTACAGGTAGTTTATAGAGATGTTGTAACATATACAGGTAGTCTTTAGAGATTGTGTAACATATACAGTTAGTTAACAGAGATGTTGTTACATCTACAGATAGTTTATAGAGATGTTGTAACAGATACAGTTAATTAACAGAGATGTTGTTACATCTACAGGTAGCTTATAGAGGTATGTATACAGTGTACACAGATGTTGCAAATTGTATCAATGAACTATGGCTTACCTCACACAATGAATTGTCATGAAGATTGAAGATAGATAGAACCTCGTGGCTGCCGAGTGCTATGGTATAAACAGGTGACACCGCCTATCCCGGGGATAATTTCATCGACCAATCATCAACGTTAGATCTGTGACGGTAGGACTGCGTCTGTCAGGTGATGCCAAACGCTGGATAAACTGTCATGCCATGGATCTCGCCTGAATTAAACATAATGTCGACATCTCGTTATTGTTGATGCAGCTGATTCTGAGCCAGGAACTCATTGGCCATTCCGAACGTGTATTCTAACACATAAAACTAACGCAGCTATAGGTCTGTATGCAGAAACATACAGAAATTATGAATCAACCATGGGGGGAATGACTCGAATATGAAAAAGGCTAGATGATTCATCTTCAGGATCAACAGAGTCCCGTGTTTTTTTTCTCTATAACAGGAATCTTTCTGCTTCAGTAGTACTGCCCCTCCGATACAGTTTCTTGTTATGTTAGTAAGTTTGCTGGGCGTTGATTTTCTCAGATGTGGAAGTTGAGGTGAATCAGAGCAAAATATAGATATACATACCAACATCAGTAACATACTTGATGCCGAGCACGTATGGTAGACATTCACGTCATGCGAAAGTCCAGGGCCAGCGATGTGCCTTGCGTGCTACACTTGCTTGACCTGTTTTTGAAATCGTATTGTGATATGTTCTGTACAATAAAACATTGACAGTCCATACTATCTGTACAAGAACACACTGACGGTCCATAGTATCTGTACTGGAAACATTGACGGTCTATATTATATGTACTAGAAAACATGGATTGTCCATATTATCTGTACGAGAAAACATTGACGGTCTATATCATATGTACTAGAAAACATGGATTGTCCATATTATCTGTACGAGAAAACATTGACGGTCCAAAGTATCTCTGTAAGATACCACTGACGGTCCATATTATCTGTAAAAGAAAAGACTGACGGTCTTTATTATCTGTACTAGATAACATTAACGGTCTATATTATCTGTACTAGATAACATTAACGGTCTATATTATCTGTACTAGATATCATTAACGGTCTATATTATCTGTACAAGAAAACATTAACGGTCCATAGTATCTGTACAAGAAAACATTGACAGTCAACATTATCTGTACTGGAAACCGTTGACGCCAATATCATCTGTACTACAAAATATTGACGTTATTATTTCCATTTAACAAAATCCAACAGATTTAGACAATGTAATTTTCACTACGACGCACATGAGTATTTATGGTTTTATAAACAACTACTATAATAGTGCTTTCGTCATAAAACACTGTACGTTGTGATTTACTGTGGATTTCGAGTTGATTGTGACATGAATGTTTGTAATGTACCGAGGCGATGCTTAACGAGGGATACGAATTACACATATACAGTAACCCCGCATAGCACGTTTGAGAGGCACGTCACGTTTACCAACTGACTGAGTCCGGCTTTCTCCGGTACCTTCAATGCTTGATTATAACACAAAAGGTAAGCACCTGTTTCTTTTTATTGAATATTACAGATGTGTAAATGGTACTGAAAATGAACAGAATTCGTTCTAGTACACACAAGCGCCTGGGGATCAGCGACAACTATTGAGAAGATACGAGTTGGGTGATCCTCGTCTCTGCCTCGTTCAGTCATCGGCGCCATCGGGACTTGAACGTCATCCAAACGCATTATCATCAAATCTAAACTTAACGAACCGTAGAATTAGACATCGACTCATTGAAACCAGTTAACACTGATGTAAGGTCACACTTTAAGACACGGTACAGGTGTAGCAGGACGTGGTGTCACACCAAACAGTTGACATCATCAACGCCTGCTCGCGTGGTCTTAAATTTATTGGTATTTTTAACTTTTTCAGTTAGATAGATAGATAATTTATTCGTTCAAAACTGTGAGGCCACAGGCCCATAGTATACAGCGTTTAGGAAGCAGTTTTATACAACATAAACTTATTTCTAACAGACATAGCATGATATATATATTGACAAATTGCGTATGACATCAAGTTTAACTGAAGCTTTTAGAGTGACAAGTCTGTGGTACTGGTACACAAAAAGCTCTCATTTTTTAAGTACAGACTTCTTAGATTATGACATGTATGGAAAATTAACAGGAAGTGATATCCATCTTCAATAAGATCTGGATTACACTGATTACAAAATCTTAATTGTGTACATTCAATTAGTTTGTGGGAATTTCATCGAAATTATGTAATTCTATATTTTCTAAGATTGAAATAAATAAATAAGCTGGTGTGTGTATGAGATTTTAAAAACTTATTGCAATTACATTTACTAGAAGAGTCTACAATAGAAAGCGTTTTTGTGAAGGTATATATCTTTAAGTGTTTGCCTAATGGACAACAATACTTTATCTGGGCTTTCTGGTACACATTGTTCATTCCATACATAACTGTATCCACATTCGTTTAACAAACGTTTTACATATTAATAAACCAAATTTTGAACTCCATGGCTTTAATATAACAACATCATATTTTCACATTTTCTTGTCAATCTGTAAAAGGCATATTTAAAATTTTAAACCAAGATTTTATTTATTCTAATGTACTGAAACACAAAAAGGTACCCGCCCACTTTCGCCATAGATCATAACACTACACTGTACACAGTACACTGTTTGACACCAAGAAATCTTTTACATGCATACAAGTGTACTAGTCCAATCGCCCTGTACCCATAGAAGCCCCGTATCTCTGAGCCATATCATTAGTTATTGGGTCTTTAGTGGCCGTATACGGTGTTATATTGGGTTAGAAGAAAAATATTTGGCCATATGTTTCCGAAAAGTGTACACTATTTGGTATCTTTATGGCACATGTCAAGTCAAAACGTACAACCGGTACAAACGACAGGACCAGTTCATATGTTTCCGATTTAATGTAAACATAAACGTTAACAATGGAAGATATTATGTGAATGTTTAAACAAGTTTTATAGGTAAAATGTATCGAATTTTCATAAAAATACTCGCATGTTAACAGAAATCTGCGGGCAACTGTAACTTACAGCAGTCCGCTTACCTCTAACGACGGGCTGCTATCAATTCTATTGCTATGTGAAGTCATTGGCGTCACGTTTCTTGATTGTGACGTCATCCAATATTATGTTTATGCTATTTGTAACTCAGTGACCTCCGTTGTAATTTTTTTTTCTTTATACTGTTTATTAATAAAGTCACGAACGTGGTTTCTTTAAACACAAATGTCCTTGTGCATCACAATTTATGATAGTAAAACAAAAGACAGTGTCGAATAAAGAATTTCTGTACCAGAATTTTCATGTGAAATATATCAGGCAGGTTTTGCAAAATCTAAAATGGCTGTTACTGACGGTATACGGGCTCATATGGGGGTTAGTCGTTCTGCTCTCTGATTGGTCAATCTCACTTTGAGGCATAATTAAAAAGTATAGCACATAGTTTTACATCGTTTATCTTTAATAATGTGTTATTAGAAAGATCACTCCGGTTTTTAAATTTTGTAATATTCTTAATAATATTTTCTAAGCTTACGGTGCTGCATGACAAGTACACTAGTATTCCTGGATAACTTGCTTGAAAATGAAACCCCAAGGTATTTATATAATGTGACAGTTACAATTGTTTCCTTCGAAAGACCAGTTTTATCCATATTAACATTAAGTTTCCATTTCTCACAGTATATTACTAACTGACTGATCAAATGTGAACCTTCATAGTACTTGAAAACATAACAATATTTGTTGTCGTTTGTACTAGTCCGGACTTATGCCAGTGTTATGGTGCAAACCCACTGAGATACCACACCGCAGTTTAACATGGATCCTCTACTCAGACCTCAGACTTGTTGTATGTCTTTAAGGGTATGTTGTATGGCAGGGTAAAACAAGTACATCTGTTAAAGTCCTGTCGCATTACACAATCAGGGAACTGGGCAAATGCTCTATCCACTGGACCACGGAGGTGTCCTGTGTTCGGCTTCAGGGGAGGGGGTGACTGGAAGAATATATTAATGAGTCGAAAAGTATTATATCTGGTTAGGTCTACAACTACAGGGTACGTTGCATGCTGTTCAAGGTAAATACAAACTGGTTTAGATTTTGATAGTTATTTCGCTGTTTAATGTTTGGATGAAAATGAGAAACGTAAACACAGCCTCAACGTTTTTATGAAAACGAATTAGGTCAACTGTGATTAGTCCAAACATGGAAATATATGGCGGCTGCATGTAATTGTATTTCAAATCAGTTGTGAGTATTTGATGTGTATTTGATACTCTCTGTGTTATACAGTAGACTGAAGATGGTGAACAAGACCACTCTCCTCCAAGCCTTCGCCATTCTGGTGCTTCCGGTGTTTTTGGTGACAGTGATCTTCAACATCCTCGCCGGTCTCCCAGGCACAGGTAAACATGGGGCATCACAACAGGGCATGTGAGCAGGGTGCAGAGTTGCGTCCTAGGCCTGGCGGGATCCGATGTTCATTGGTTCCAATTCCAAATTCGACCTCATCTTGATCTGTGGTCTGTTAGAACTGCAACCGCGGGACAAAAAGTGTGTGGTCTACGAAACTGCTGGGCAAAAGAAAGTATACACCAATATTTGATGGTGGCTAAAGCTGACACAAACAACAAATGGTTATTCGACGATGATGTATATGACAGGGTATTACAGTTTTGTTTCGGACATGTTGGCAGTGTTGCGGCGACTCGATGCCCAGCAGCGTTTGGATAACGTTTATAATTTTTTATCAAATCCAATTTTCAGGTGCTGAATTTTTGTTCCCCGGCCGTTTACTTTTTTGGCTTTTGTCAGTTTTGGATTTTCTTCCACATTAAGATGTCAGTGCCATGCAGTTGTGAAGCACGATCTAGTAGACCTACTTCTGCCTCTTGCTACCTTGTGTTCATATATTCAATATTAGTCTTTTACAAATGGGCCAAACCTTTACAGACATAATGTATGTTATATGATTTACTAGTGATATGTAATTAATTACATCATCAAAGAAACACGTAAATACGTTCCTTATATCACTTTGATTGTAACCAATATACCTCAATTTCAGGTGCTTTCGTGTTTCTGACCACAACTGCCGCAATCTCTGACCGGTTCATCTCACAAATAACCCCCGCCGGCTTCACATTCATCATCTGGGGCCTGATATACGTCTGGCAGCTCGTGTGGATCATCTACGAGCTGACCCTTCTCTGCCGGAAGTCGGCCTCGGGGGAACCCCTCTTTCTGAAACCGATCCTCCTGACGACAGCATTCTTCGGCATCTACATCCTCAGCCTCGTCCTCAATGTGTTCTGGTTGTTCATGTTCGACCGAGAGTTAATAGGACTGGCATTCGTGGTTCTGGCTGGCATCTCAGTCACTCTCTACATCTGCCTCGGCCTGTCCTACCTAGCTATGTACAAGAACAGGTTCATCCTGTCCAATCAAAGTCGGAGGGTAGATATTGTCCTCATCTCTATATTTGTCCACAATGGTCTGGCCCTGTACGCCGCATGGACAACTGTGGCCACCTTCATCAACATGGCCATCGTCATCACCTACCAGTCTCTGCCCCCAATTGACCCGGGTACTGCCTCAACCATTGCTCTCGGCTTCCTGGCTGCTGTCATCATCATCTACGTGGTCGTCGACCTCTCCGTATTTGACAAGTATACCCGCTACACCTTCACGCCCTATCCTGTCGTCATCTGGGCGTTTGTGGGCATCATTGCAAGAGGCTATAATTTGCTTGACGCTAATACTATCTTTATCTTTGTCCTGTTGGCGCTGACTGTGGTGGCTTTCCTTGTGAAGATCGCATTAGCCATCTACAGAGCAATGACACAGCCGCTGTTTCCTCCTCCTGGGTCCGGGCCCGATGAGACCAAGGGAGAAGAGGTGACTCCGGAGGAAGACATGGAGAAGGCGACCACCACTGTGGAGCCCTCGGTCACAACGAATGAGGTTGAACATGAGTAGAGTGAACATGGAACTGATGACTTGAAACCAGTTTTAAGGATTATCCATGACAATTTCTGCTAACTTGACTTCGGCAACATCCAAGTCTCACGATTCAGATGACTAAAATAGTCCCAAGACCAGTCGTGTCGGGTGGTGGTATATATTCGTTTCTCAGTGCAGGTGCCCTTTGATATCACGATAAGATAAGACACTAAGTCTTGATCAAGTGAACACGAACGGGGACGTTCTTTTTGACAGGGTTGCCATCATGAGTGGTGATAGCTCACGTGAATGAACCTCACATTTAGATCTACGCTTTTTCTTTAATATGGCTCTGCATATAGATATTTTAATGTTGATTATATAGTTATATTTGCCACCATCTTGAAAGACATTTTCACTCACTTGCATTTATTAAATATATTATCGTAATATATGATAAATATGAATGCCATTAACAAACATATCGCTATGATAATGGATCGGTATTTTCGAGCAATTTTACACCTTTATTTTGCAGATGAATAATAATGGCCGACGGTGCTGTAGCTCACCTGGTAATTCAGCCTGATATTTTCATTGACAGTTCATTACCATTCTGTTGTTTTAGTGTTGCACAGATTTGCAATGTAATCAAAGTGTCACCAGTGATTCATCAGGAGATTGAAGCTTTTTTTTTTAACGTTGTCTGTGGTCGCCGAAGCACAGGTGGACAGCAGGACATCTGCGTAGACAGTGAGTTGGACAGCAGGACATATTTGTAGACAGTGACTTGGACAGCAGGACATCTTTGTAGACAGCCAGGTGGTCAGTAGGACGTCTTTGTAGACAGTCAGGTGGACAGGCGGACATCTTTGTAGCCAGTCAGACATCTTTGTAGACAGTCAGGTGGTCTGTAGGATATCTTTGTAGACAGCCAGGTGGACAGAAGGATATCTTTGTAGACAGCCATGTGGTCAGTAGGATATCTTTGTAGACGGTCAGGTGGACAGCAGGACATCTTTGTAGACGGTCAGGTAGTCAGAAGGATACCTTTGTAGACAGCCATGTGGTCAGTAGGATATCTTTGTGGACAACCAGGTGGACAGTGGGATATCTTTGTGGACAACCAGGTGGACAGTAGGATATCTTTGTAGACAGCCAGGTGGTCAGAAGGACATATTTGTAGACAGTCAGGTGGACAGAAGGATATCTTTGTAGACAGCCATGTGGTCAGTAGGATATCTTTGTAGACGGTCAGGTGGACAGTAGGATATCTTTGTAGATAGCCAGGTGGACAGTAGGATATCTTTGTAGACAGCCAGGTGGACAGAAGGATATCTTTGTAGACAGCCATGTGGTCAGTAGGATATCTTTGTAGACGGTCAGGTGGACAGCAGGACATCTTTGTAGACGGTCAGGTAGTCAGAAGGATACCTTTGTAGACAGCCAGGTGGTCAGAAGGATATCTTTGTAGACAGCCATGTGGTCAGTAGGATATCTTTGTGGACAACCAGGTGGACAGTGGGATATCTATGTGGACAACCAGGTGGACAGTAGGATATCTTTGTAGACAGCCAGGTGGACAGAAGGATATCTTTGTAGACAGCCATGTGGTCAGTAGGATATCTTTGTAGACGGTCAGGTGGACAGTAGGATATCTTTGTAGACAGCCAGGTGGACAGTAGGATATCTTTGTAGACAGCCAGGTGGACAGAAGGATATCTTTGTAGACAGCCATGTGGTCAGTAGGATATCTTTGTAGACGGTCAGGTGGACAGCAGGACATCTTTGTAGACGGTCAGGTGGTCAGAAGGATACCTTTGTAGACAGCCAGGTGGTCAGAAGGATATCTTTGTAGACAGCCATATGTGGTCAGTAGGATATCTTTGTGGACAACCAGGTGGACAGTGGGATATCTTTGTAGACGGTCAGGTGGTCAGAAGGATATCTTTGTAGACAGCCAGGTGGTCAGAAGGATATCTTTGTAGACAGCCAGGTGGTCAGTGGGATATCTTTGTGGACAACCAGGTGGACAGTAGGATATCTTTGATCTTTGTAGACAGTCAGGTGGACAGCAGGACATCTTTGTAGACAGTCAGGTGGTCAGTAGGACATCTTTGTAGACAGTCAGGTGGTCAGCAGTATATCTTTGTAGACAGTCAGGTGGTCAGCAGGATATCTTTGTAGACAGCCAGGTTGTCGGTAGGATATCTTTGTAGACAGTCAGGTGGTCAGTAGGTCATCTTTGTAGACAGTGAGTTGGACAGCAGGACATATTTGTAGACAGTGATTTGGACAGCAGGACATCTTTGTAGACAGCCAGGTGGTCAGTAGGACATCTTTGTAGACAGTCAGATGGTCAATAGGTCATCTTTGTAGACAGCCAGGTGGTCAGTAGGACATCTTTGTAGACAGTCAGGTGGTCAGTAAGACATCATTGTAGACAGTCAGGTGGTCGGTAGGATATCTTTGTAGACAGTCGAGTGGTCAGTAGGACATCTTTGTTGACAACCAGGTGGACAGTAGGACATCTTTGTAGACAGTCGGGTGGTCAGTAGGACATCTTTGTAGACAGTCGGATGTTCAGTAGGACATCTTTGGAGACAGTCGGGTGGTCAGTAGGACATCTTTGTAGACAGTCGGGTGGTCAGTAGGACATCTTTGTAGACAGTCGGGTGGTAAGTAGGACATCTTTGTAGACAGTCGGATGTTCAGTAGGACATCTTTGGAGACAGTCAGGTGGTCAATAGGACATCTTTGTAAACAGTCATATGACGAGTACACACATGACGGGGGACAAAGTAACCACCCTGAAAATTTGATTCTGTTCCCAAAACCAGTACATTTATAGTTCAGTGTCTGGTTTTTCCCGAACCGTTTTCTGTCTCTACCAAATATCCACCTCCCCATAAATGCCGGACCCCCACCCCGTTCATAGTCTCCGGAATACTACGTAGTCTTGTTCTTGTTTTGAGCGGGAATACATGGCGATACCAGATACATATCGATGTTCTAGGATGTGTCTGAATACTGCTATCAACTTACTAATAACTTCAGCCAGGTGTTTTAATATTTAATTTAGGACCGAGGCTCCACTTTCTTCAACCTGCAGTGACACACCTGAGGGGACCATCTCAAAACCCATGCGATGTTTTAAAGTCGATTCATTTCAACAAGAGATGGTTAGAAACGCCATTAAGACTCTGTATAAACAAAATATCTATGAATCTCTCCGTACTCTAAAAACATATATGGAGACAAATCATTCTTTGACCATTTCAAAATATCAGTTATGGAAATTGCTACACCAATTTGGTTTCCGTTACAAAAAAGTAGGCTCCGACAATAGACATGCATTATGCGAGAGGTCTGATTGTTCGCCTAAGGAACCATTTCTTACGCACAATACGAGAAAAACGTTACGAGGGTTATGAGCCCGTATACTTGGACGAAACGTGGGTAAACGCTTCCCATACCACAGGAACACAATGGTTCCCTAGCTCCTCCTCTGATTTCTGTGCAGGAAATTGCCACTTGGCAAGGGTGAGCGGCTTATTGTGCTCCATGCTGGCTGCAAGAGTCGGGGATTCCTACCAGGCTGTTCGCTAGTCTTCAAGGCAAAATCCAAGGACAACCGAGACTATCATACCGAAATGAACGGAGCGGTATTCCTAGAATGTGTTAAAACTCAACTGCTACCGGTATTGCTCCCCAAGAGTCTGGTTGTCATGGACAATGCTCCATATCATGGCGTTCAGGTACCTAACACAAAAGCCCCAACGTCTAACAGTAGGAAGGGCGATATGACAGACAGACAGACAGATAAATTTATTCGATACTTTAGGCCACCGGCCCATAATACAATGGAAATATACTGTATATATATTTGCATGCTGAATAGATTTAATAATGATTTACCGTTTCCTTTCGATATTCATGACTTGGGAGAGAAATTTACCTAAGCTTTTTTATAATTTGTTCGTTTTCAGCTGACAAAAGTCTTATAAAATTCTCAATAGAGGGAGGGGTAACGAGACGCTTGGGAAAAGAGTTTCTTCTTGCTCTAGAATACTGGTCATAAATCATGAGAACATGGAATTCATCTTCAGCATGGTTATGTCCCTTTGAAAAACAGAAAGTGCATACACGTTCATTATATGGGATGTTGTTGTGACGCCCCAGTTCAACAGCAAGTCTGAAATTATTACACCGGAACATGGCTATAAGTCTACGTTGGTAAGAAGACATAACACAAGTAATATATGATTCCACATTTAGTAATGAATTGAACTGTGAGTAGTAATTGCATTTCGTAGATGATGACAGGGAAAAGTGCCAATATTGATTGAGGCAGTCGTAAAATCTTCGTTTAAAATATGTCATGAAATGTTGAATATTACCAATGTCTTGGTTTAGCCAAACAAAACCAAATCCAAACTGGAATAAAATCATTCTAATGTGTGATACAAGTCAAGTTTTAATCCATATCATCAAATAACCGCCCGTTTAGTACATGGACATCACGTGTGCAACATAATTTTGCTCGTTTGACACCGTAACTGTTGTGTCGAGTGTCATCCTTTGTTTTACGGGGAATATCGAACCCAGCAGTTGGATAGTCATCACTGTTCTCATGGATGAAGTTGAGGTCATCAGCTGGGATATAATCCAGAAATGTACGCATCCTTGCATTGAAATCTCCAGCAAGTAGTGGGTTATGATTGTTATAGATATTTTTGATTGTCTCAATATATCCCTCAAGACGACTTATTGGATCAATGTTAGCCTCATTATTAACAGGGGAGTTTTCAGGCGAGATATAAACACATATTGAAACTGAATCTTTTTTGTAATCCAAAATAACTTCTTTGAAAGTGCAACACAACACAGTCGATAAATGAATGACATATTCGACGAATAAGATTGTTCTTGATTAAATTATCTTTCACCAATACGGTTACACCACTACTGTAACGGCCACGTTGTTTATGTTTAGGTCGACAAAAGTTAAATGATTGAAAACGGACAATAGATCAAGTCATCTTCCTGCTTAACAAACGACTCACAGAAACTAATAATGTCGCATCTACTGCAGAACTGTTTAAAATCACTAAATGAAGAGCTCGCGTGTTTGTACAATCCATCAATATTCCAACTGAGAATACTATAACTTGTGCCTTGGCCTTTTCATCTCCATCTCCATGATATGATAGAATGGTTGACACACAAAGCAATACCGTATCCACAAAAGGCAACGAAACCTGTTCTGTATGATATTATAAAGTCTAATAAAACCTCACCTGTCTTTAAAGATGACGAGTATCTTAAAGAACATGGCCATTCAGTTTTGCGATTGCCGCCCTATCATTGCGATTTAAACCCAATAGAACTAATTTGGGGTACCATTAAATCGGATGTTGCCAGGCAAAATACAACATTCAAACTGTGGGATGTACAGAAACTGGTTCAACAATCAATAGACACCATCACGCAGGAAACGTGGCAAAAGTGTGTTGAGAAAGTTGAGAATGAAATAGAGAGACAATATTGGGATCATAGTGGATTGGACCATGCCACAATCAAGCCAGTGATCATCAGGGTAGACTCGGACAGCGGCGGTAGCGATTCGGACAACAGCGACACCGATTCCGAATGCACTGTCACGGCTTCAGAAACCTGCAACAGTGACTCAGATTGAACACCCAAAACGTCTTTTGAGATGACCCCCATATACGGTGCACATGGTTGTTCATTACCTGGCTGCTCCATGAGCGACTGGTCCTCCCTGGTGTGGGATGGCGATAAATGTCAACAATATGATGATCGTTTGTTGAACAGTTGTTTTATTCGGTTGTCCAAAATTATGAGACAAACCATCAGAGTTGGTCTGTCCAATTCATGTCGCTGTGCACATTTTGGTTTTGTTGCAATTATTGATTTTGAGTTAGTGAGCAATTCATCGGTCTCAGATAGAATCAAACGGACTGTACTTGTTTTTAAACATTATTTGTGTCCCTTAATGTATTCATTCCGGTTGAGATTCAGGGAAGAATTAGTCCCCTCCCTCCCATGCGCGTCACGGGAGGAGGCCGCAACTACAAGAGAGGATCGGCTGGTCAGTTTCGGTGGCTGTTCAAAACGTGTCATCGTACGACCACAAGTCGTTGCTGATGTATTCAGTCACTCACTAATCATAACAGACCCCCGCAAAATAGCTATGACATTGCTGATTGGGGCGAAAAACAACGGTCATACACTTATGTATATGTGAGCTTTTGTGTATTTAGATATGAATGTCCTTTGTAGTTTATATTCGACGTAAGCACTGTTACAACTGATAAACGGCAATGTCTTTGTGGCCTTGAACATAGAGCAGGGATTGCCGAGTGATTGAGGGTGACACATTCGTTGTGCCGAGTTACCTTATTGGCTCGCTGACCGTTCTTCCGAATCCAACATCAGAGATTTTGCAGCTGAATATCAAACCTTACCAGAGACGTAACGTCTATGATCTGCGTTCTTTGAGTTTCGATCTCATAACGTTGAGATGTTGGGATATCTTCTTTTTAAACTCACTGAATCTTAACCTGACACTTCCCCGGCCGCATCATACCAAAATACATTAAAATATAGTACTTGTTACCCTGCCTGGCGCATTAAAGGGCTAAAACAAGGACTGGTCGGCTAGGAATCAGTATACTGTGTCTGAGTGGGGTTTCATGTTAAACTGTAGCATGGTATCTCAGTGGCCTAGCACTTTCAATTCAGCATACTTCCGGTATAGCGCGCGCACGCACACAGGCACAGAGGCACACATCGCTATATAAGTGCAATGATATTGGACGCAACGTTAAACCCCATTTTTCCTCACGAAACGTTCAATGAAGAAAAGACTCAGAATATTATGAGTTAAGATTTTAATCAAATAAGTTATATTTATATATACAGATTAGAGCATCATTGCTTTTCAAAGTTAAATATAAATAATAACACGCTTCTATTACAAAATACAATACAATATGTAAAAATGTCGAGAAATAAATCAAACAAGAAAATCAATTCTTGATCATGAGTTGAACACCTGGGAGATAGTCACACTTCAAATCATTGACTGCATTGCATATTACGCACATCTAAATATGTACCATGTATATGTTATTGTGTTGTCAGGCTTGTTCTGATAACAGAACATGCTTCAAAGAAGGGCGATAACTCGTGTTGTTGAGATTTGTATTTGACACGTTACTCGTTAATAGGGACAAATGCGAAACGAATCCGATCTTGTGAACAATGTGTTCACAACACTGGGAATATGATATAAATGCGACTTTGGCAATTCGCCAGCATAAAAATGTTTAAATACATCGTCTCCAGCTTATGAGTGTTTTCTTGTTTAACGCTGCACTCAACAATAGTCCAGTTATGTGACGGCGGTCTGTTAATAATCGAGTCTGGAACAGACAATCCAGTGATTACATTCATGACCATCGATCTACTGGATACGTGGCATGCATCCTCCAAGTAAGACAGCCTGACCACCCAATCCCGATAGTCGACCCTTAGGACAAGCATGGGTTGCTGAACACCAATACTGATACTGATCTTCACGGGTTTCACCAGTTTATGAAACGTGTTGATGACGTCAGGCCATGCCGACAGTGTCCTGCTTCTCCGGCATGGTAATGTTCGTGGATGAGGTAAACACAGGTTTGGACTTGCTTCTGATGATGACGAAGACTATCTTGGCAATGAGAGCTAACACGCCTATCACTATGAGTACAATGGTGAAGATAGAGTTCCCGCGAGCAGCGTCAAAGTTCTTGGCCAGGCTGCCTGAGAGAGCCCACACGATGACGCCATAAGGCGTGATGGTATACCGACTGTATCTGTCGAATAGGAAGAGGTCGGTGATGACGAAGAGGAACAAGGCGGCGGTGATGAAGCCGAGGGAGATGGAGGACGCGGTGCTCTGGTCGATGGCGGGGTTAGCTCTGTAGGCAATCACAAAGCCCATGTTGAGGAAGGAAGCAATGGTGGTCCAAGCCGCATAGATTCCAAGCCCGTTGTGGACGAATGCACGCACTAAAGTGTCCTCAATCTTAAGATTGAGTTTAGCCAGGACCTCCATGTTGTTATCCAGGGAGGTGTAGGAGATCCACAGGCAGATGTACAGGGTGAAGGCAATGGCGAACAGGAAGCTGAAAGCCAGCTCGATGAGTTGGCGGTCAAACAGCAGGAGCCAGCTGATGTTGAGGAACATGTTCAGGATGTACATTCCGAAGAAGGCGGGGGGCAGAAGAACGGGGTTGAGGTAGAGAGGTCCTTCTGGACTCTTCCTGCAGATGCGGACCAATGAGTAGACAATCCAGACAGCCTGCCAGGCATAGATGAGGCCCCATATGCTGAAGGTCCAGCCGGCGGGAGTGATCTCGATGTAGAATACGTCCGAGATGTCCCCTGTGGAATTTAGGAAGACGCCTGCAAGAAACACAAAGTAAAAACATCCACAGCTTGATTAATGAGTCTTATATTCAAAATAACAACCCATAACGGGTTCGCACAGGAGTGCACTGAGCACAATTCAAACAAATACTGATCTTGTTACTTTAACGCTTTATCCGAAAGATTAACTACTTCAAATAGCCACATCAGATGAGATGATCATTGGACGCTTTTTACGTCTCAGTCGGATGACTAATATCTGATGGCAACGAAATTAACAGAAATCCATGATGCGAGGCTTCAACACGCAGCCACATCACCCGTCTGTGGCATCAGCACAATATAAGACCCACTTAGGAGCGATAGAGAGTGAAAGATTAAAGACAAAAATTAGAGACAAATCTTAAAGAGTCGCACATCACTATATTTTCATAATACGTGATATATGTTCGCCCTGTAAAGGTGAGTTGATTTTAACGGCGCTTTGAACAGTTTTCCAGTCATATCATGACGTTTCAGCAATGTAGTGGTGGGGGTGGTGGGGGTGGTGGGGGTGGGGGAAGCCCGTAGTGATGCAGGTCTAACATTAAACATACCACTTACATAGTAAAATAAACATGGACATACTACCACATTTATTGGTGTAAACACAGAAATACAAATTTTGCTCAACTGCTATTTGACATTTCAACATTTCAAGAAATTATAACTTTCCACATTATTTCTTCAATGGTCACTGAAGCGGACGTAGAATATCTTTATAATGTTCTTGTCAGAAGTAATAGCCTACTCTCCTCATCAGCGTTATTATACAACACATTTCACGTTAAATCAAAAGATAAACACACTCAAACAAATTTACCAAATGCATATATTTCTCATGGAAATTTCCCCTAATCCCAATAGTCCAAAATTATCACCACCAAAGACTCATGCTTGTCTACAGCACATAGGAAAGACATACCATGCGCCCACAGTCGTCACTGACCTACCTATGCTAGTATCTGACGCCAGTCCGTTGAAGGCGGCGGTGAGTATGAAGGCGAGGAGAGCCCCTACATTGAGGGCCTGCAACAACATTGGCGGGACCGACTTCATCATGGGCGATCACAACCACACCTGAAACACAACACCTTCTGATTATGTATAGCTTTATCATACAATTTGCTGCAACATTAGCCAAATGATCGGTCCATCTAGCTAGTGAAATCCCGTACACCTATCTGTCTACATCCATGTATATCCTTGGGTACAATGTGTGAAGCCCATTTCTGGTGTTCCCCGCTGGGATATTGTGGAAATATTGCTTAAAGCGGCGTAAAACCATACTCCCTCACTCCGATGTATATCCTGGGATGTATCTGTATAGCATATTTGGAGTAAGAGGTCAATTATACTAAATGAGGTAACTATAGTAACGAATAGATCAGTAAACAAACATTTAGTCCCAGAATTAAGGTGATCTTATTTAAAAATATATATGTACAAAATCCAAACTATAATCAAAATGGAGCCGGGGACAATGGTTAATTTCAGGGGTGAGGCAGTCAAGACTTGCCAAATTTGTTTTTAATTTATTCTCTGGGAAACACAAGGACTGACAGGTTAGTATATGAATTTGTCTAGTCTAGAATGGGTTAAACAGTTAAATAACAGTAATATTGAAAACGAATTATAGCATGACTATGGTATCGCGGTATCGGTACATTTCGTAATCCACATAACCTGTCGATTGTTTTCTTATGTAATTCTGAGCAGGATACTTCTTCACTTGACTCGTTGCGGTATGACTCGGCTCCTCGTAAGTATACACGTTAACATTTTTATGATAGTTTCTGGAATGTTTTGAAGTGGAACAAAGAAAAATAAACATTTTGAGTACGACATTCTATGAAGATTTAACACACGCATTTTAACTATATGCTGAATACTAATCGAGTTTTCTAAAATTGATATTACAAGGGGCGAGTTTTTGTGTTTCATTTATTACTTACCGCTTATAACCTTTTAAAACTTCATTTGATGGAACTGTGGGAGTCCCCGTCTTAACTAGGTCAAGCGGATGACAGTATGTATCCATAGTGTGTGACACACGGCATACTCCATTTGAGTTTATCAGAATAAAACGTCTTCAATTACTACTGTACAACGGAAAAAGAGACCAGCTGGATCGGATGGACATGCTCGCTGACTTGGTTGATGCATGTCATCGTATCCCATTTGCGTGGATCTATGCTAGTGTTGTCAGTCTCTAGATTGTCTGGTCCAGACTCGATTATTAACAGACCATCGTAAACGTGACCATTGTAAACATCAAACATACAAACCTAACAACGGCCTACACACCTTTAGATTTCCGCCCCGAAACGTCACAATACACTATGACGTAAATTGTTACAGTTTGTTGAAAGATACATAGGCGAACAATGCCATGTGACGTCAGCCTGCGTGGAGTCATCGAGTGTGCGTGCATAACGGTCTTATCTGTCATCTCTACACGTATAACATCGATGTTGAGAGTTTTCTATATTTGTTAACCTAGTTCCGGTGGTACATATACACGCGCTTTGGGATTAAACAATGTGTAAAACCAGCTTATTGTTATTTAGGTATCCCCTGTATAATGGGACACTTCCGGTGAAAACTACGACTTTTGCCGATGTTTCCAACATCGGCAATGTTGGGGTGATGTAATACCGAGTAAGAATTACGCCCCTTATTGTAAACAATCATGGCGACTGGCAGACAGCTGTGGTCGATTCAAAAAGGTGAAAGACCGGTAATCACACCAAAATATTAAAATCAAACGTGCTCATCCACCACAACTACCCAGCTTGCCATGTTTACTTTGGTGATCCTTGCAAGGACGACGACTGTCCTCTTTTTCGAAACACCAAACTCGGCAAATACGCAAGCAGAGATGGAAGGAAGAGCGAAGGATGGTCGAGCTCGGGGAACTTCTCTCCAATCTCGTCGCTTGCAAATTGGGCCCTATTCCATTAACGTATGGGAATATTGTCGGCGAGATGAGGAAAGGACTTAGCGGCTGTTTGTGCGTGAAATGTCAGACAATGTGGGCAAATAAACATGGTTCCATACGGGAAGACGCACAGGGAGAAGAAGGGGAAGTCAGGGATGCCATGTTTTGTTATCAACACAAAGCTTGGAACAGGTAAATTTTTATTTTTGTTTTACATTTAATTGACCAATAAAATGCTCTCAAAGTTTTGGCATTCCGATGATGTAAAGCACAAATATTGTCCTGTTTTCGATCATATATTTCAGCGTCATGCCTTTCTTATTGTTCATGTCACGATATCATGTTTTATTAATGTCTTATGTTGTCTTGTTTTTTCAACAAAAGGTAAGTAAGTATAGTAAGGCTTTTTTCCAGTATGCTTCAACATGGGAAAAGGGTCAGACATTGCACGCTTGTGACAGTTGTCCTTGTGTCTAGGGGGTGGGGGTGAAATTTAAGTCAGTATTGCTCCCAGACAGCTATGCCCGATTTATAAAAAGTATTGATTAAACTTAGAATTTTTACTGCCAACTATATGAACAGGCACACATCCCTCCCTCATTCCTAAAAATAATATTAGATACATTCTTATAATTATCATGATTATATTGTGGCTAATATCTATTTACAGCTATGATCGATAGCGTTGGGGGACCAGACAGGATGAATAATCTCCTTTCAACATTAAATATCAAACCAGAGAAGTTTAAAAAGCATGGAACGGAGGGATGGAGGCTATGTTGAAGCTGTTGCCAAAGAGTCGACTCAACAGGCTGCAAATGATTCATTTAGAATGGAGATGGAGTAAGTTCTATACAATGTCATAACAATGTTTGTTTATGAAACTAGTCATTTGTGTTCAAACCAATTGTTAATAACACAATGATACAATAGACATGGTGGATACTCTGAATCAAATGAATTCATTGTTTAATGACGACCGTGTGTGTAGATACTGGAAATCGTCAAATATAAACAAAGAATATCATCTTGTATAGGTGTCGGATATTCAAAAAAAAAAAAATTGAATTTGGAATTCCTGTTTCTCATTGTTGCTCCTGGTCTGGCTTTAACCCATCAGGTTTATTTCTCTACCAGATGCACCTCCTGAAATTAGGTTTATTCTTTTCTATATATTTTTAGTATGTACATGTATAGCTTGTGTTGAATAGTGGGAGATATGTTCAGATGGAAATAAGATTATTTTGAAAATATTCCATTGTACAATGTATATGCAACTATTGTATATCATTTAGAAACAACAAGACACTTTTCCATAGGTTAAATATTTCTGTGGGACATGGAAGATCAATCCATCAGATGGGACTGTAGAATAAGTTGTTCCATGACTGAAATTGTTTCAGCACATAAAAGAACCAATATTAATTCGGGTATAATACATGAAAACAATTTGGATTTCAATTTTTCATTTTTCAGATGATTGATGTCATCCCATTCCTCTACTGTACCAGTAGCTGATGCTAGTTCTGATGATGAAAGTGGACATTCTGACCAGACTCCTTAAGCATCTAACATTGAAAGTCTACCAGTCTCATCTTCAAACAGGTGAGAATTTTGAAAAAATTCAACTAATAGTTTTATTTGATCATGTAGCCAAGTGCATGATTGAGAGTTTAACCAACTAGGCAATCAATCAAAAAGTTGCCAGTTCGAATCCTAGCAAACCCACTTGATGATGCTTGTTGTGTCCTAAGACAAGTCACTTTATCTGCATTGTCTCAGCCCAGCCCAGCCCAGCCCGTTGTATATAGCCATCAACTTAGACTGCAGGTTTACCTGCAATGGTGCAATGGTGCACTGGTGTAACGTCCAAGCGGGAGGACCTTATCCCATTAGCACCATGGAAACCAGGTATAATCACCAAAACATGGGGCACATGCAAGTGGTGGTGGATGAGGAATAGACCTAGACTACCAATCCGAAAGTACAGATGTATCCTAAATCACTTCGGTAGTGCTCGGTTAATGAAATGTACTTCCAAAAGTACCAATCTCAACAGGTTACTGGTATAGTGGTATACTAGACAAAAGAAGTTAAGGATCACCCAATTCTTTTCTATTACTATAGTTAATCTCTCATGCCATTACAGATTAACTATAGTAATTTGAAAGAATCTGCTGATCCGTAACTTCTTTTGAGTAGTATACAATGACGGTCAATAGGAAACAAGTTCAGCCTGAAACTGTTCAGTTTGCAGTTGACAAGTTTTGTAAATGGCTCAGTGGGTTTCCCAATGTATTCCTTGTGGCACATAATGGAAGAAGATTTGATGTTCCTGTATTTTCATCTGCATTGCTAAACATCCAGTGTGAAGCACAATTTTTCAACTGTATCAGGTCTTATTGATAGCCTACCTGTCTTCAAGGCCGTTCCTGGACAATCATCATACAAGCAAGAAAATCTAGCCAAGACCTTTTTGCACTCATCATATGAAGCACACAATGCCATAGAAGATGTAAAGGTCCTTGGTAAGCTTGAATCTCATACAAAGATGAAAATTCAGGAACTTGCTAGGTTTAGTTTCCCACCATCAGCAGTCCACAATCTACTTCTCTTCAACAAAGAAAAGGCCAAACACATCAAAACACTCCATTCTCTCTTAGCCGAAGGGGTCATGAAAATGTCAATTGCCGAGAAAATTGCCAGATCAGGACTGAATCTTGGTCACCTGCGCAAAAATTTTCAGCGTGATAGAGAAGATGGTCTTGGCAATACAGATGTAAAGAAAACCCTTGCGGATGTCATTCCGAAATTAGTCCTCTTTCTCAACAAGGACTATACCAAGCTTACAATCTGGTTGTGTGTAAGGGATGGTTTGGTGACATGCATTTGATACATGTATTGTTCTCATTATAGTACACATATTCATTTTTATCCCCTCTGCATATAATGCGGTTGGATATTGTCATCTGATCTGTCTGTCCATCCATATTTTCGGAGCATACTTGAAGACTGTGAGATATGTTTTATTCGAATTTGGTTCAAGTATTAACAAGGGGATTAAGTGCTGCCTTTTGCTATTTAGGGAATAATTATTTTAAAAAATTTTTTGTTCCTGTTTTCACGTTTTTTTACTTTGACTCTGTTTAGCATGGTTTATGGTGGTTTGTTTGTGCAGCCCATATCTCTAAAACTAATAGGTAAAAAACTAGGCTTAAAACTGTGCACACACAAAGACCAGGTTGTCAACAGGTGCCTTTTTCTAATAAACCTTTTTTATTTTTTTATATATTTTTTGTTTCCATGGCAACAAGTTTGATTTTGACTCATAGTGGTGTGTACCTGACACAGAAATACAAAGTTCCGAATCCCAATTCCATCTTATTGTTTTGATAGCACAATAACTACTCTTTTATACGGACAGACACATTAAATGGAAACAGATGATTTGTTCTTTCAAATTTGTCATCTTCTGATGGTTATGTTAGTCAGAAATTGTTTCTGTGCAGGTCTGACTGATAAACTTGATGTTGATGTATATGTGAAAATAGAAATGCTTGACGACATGCTTTTGTTGTCTCTGGGTGCAGATGTTCATGACCAAAAAAAGGTGATTATGATACTTGGGAATACATGATACTGTCTCTTTGAATTTTAGAGAAACACCTTATGTATATATATGTACTAGACACATACGCTCTTCTGCTCCCAATTTGTACATTGTAAATTGTGTATTCATGAGTACTGTATTGCATGCTTTCAGTGTATATGGTCACGTAATATAGATAATGTGTTGTAAAGAGTGTATTTGTCTATCTATCATCTTCACTTTCAAATCTGTTAGTAATACAGAAATGTATTTATTCATTCATATCTTTATTAGAGATGACTCATTGTTACTGGTAAAAGTACATCATGTTTTGGTAAGAGTCAAAATACATGACCAGGGTTTTTTATGAAAGTACATATCATTCACACACATCCATACACACATTCACACTCACTAGAAGCTTTAGTACTTATGAAGACAGAATGCAGGATATATATTTAGTAACGTTTTGGAATAGCAAATGTTTATATTTTCAAAAGGTTTTCATAAGGAGCCCATTCCGTATAGAATTCAGTCTGTTTGGCTTTATTAAAGTGTCTATATTTTTCTATTTGGTAATAATATTTAACCTCATTTTGGAAATGTGTAATGGTTGGTTGGTTATTTTTCATCTATAAATGTGAAATTTGGCCAATAAGAGTATCAGATAAAAAATATCATCGGTATGGAAATGTTTTGAAAAGCCAAAAAGAATTAGGTCTGAAGTAAGATTTATCTTGCCAGTATGTGGACACTTGGATTCAATCCATTGTGAAAATCTTTTCCAGAAGTTTTTGCTTAGCCTACAGTCCCAAAACAGATGTTGGATAGATTCTGGCTCGGCATTACAGAAAGTGCATAGACAGTTGTCAACAATATGCATCTTGAGTAGATAAGTATTAACAGGTAGAATTCTGTGGAGCAATCTAAGCTGAAAGCATCTAAGTTTAGGGCCTGGAGTAGTTTTGTGTGCTCTGATAAATAAGCTAGGCCAGTTCATATCCATTAAAAGTTCCTCTTCCCACTTGTCAATAACTTTTAAGCTTTCATCGGTTTGACTTATTACATAGTAGTATTTCTTTGAGCCTTTTTTACATGAAAAGAGATTGGCAATAGATATATTTGTATTGTTTGTTGTTTCCAGATGCAGGTCTTTATTAATGCCTAATTGTATCCTGTATGTATTTACTGATCTTGTAATACCATAAAATTCAAGAAAATTTATATTGAAGTATTTCTTACAGAATTGTTGCAATGTCATAAAATTTCCATCATTGCTTAGCAAGCAATGTATGCTGTGTATGTTATTGAGATGAAAGGTTTTGTTATCTAATGATTTGCCATTTATAATAATATTTTTATTGTATAGCAGAGGTTCCCTCAGGAACTCTTCATAATTATTGGGTTTTATTTTATTGCTATATTTAGAAAAGGCAGTAAAACAATCTTTCCAAAATTGTTTTTTTTTTTTTTAGCAAGCTTAAGTGGAAAATCACTTCCCATAAATAGTAAATCAGGAAATTCAGGAGTAGTATTAGTCATTAAAATTTTCCATTTCTTTTCCAAATCAACATTTAGTAACCTTTTTTATCCAGATTATTTTCAAAGCATCAACATATGCAAAAATATTTATCATACCAAGTCCTCCAAGGGAAATAGGTTTACAAGCAACTGTTCTCTTTATTTTGTCTGGTTTATTATCCCATAAAAACTTGAAAAGAATAGTATTTATCTTTCTAAGGAATTCATCTGGGGGACTAGGAAGGGTAAGGAAAAGGAAATTAAGTTTTGAAATGAGCATTGATTTGATAATTGTAATTTTGCCTAATGGGGTTATAATTCTTTTCATCCATCTCTTGGTGGTTTGTTCAATTTCAAAGATTTTGCTTTCAAAGTTAAGTTTAATCATTTTATCTCGATTAGTAGAAAAAACTCGTTGACATGTACATGGGTTTGACATTTCAATTGTGTAATTTTCCAAAATAATCCCCACAACTTCACATTCTTGAGTAGTATTGTCATTATCGTAAAGGACAATTTTTCACAAGTTGAGAATACAGGGGGAAAATCCAAGTGCTTTGTGAGAGATTTTCTTTATTTGAAGTAAATAATATGTAATTCTCACATGTATTATTCATTTAATCTTTATCTTCATTCCATGCTGCAATATTATAACATTTCCGGGGTGAAATGACACACGAGACTTGGTGTGTTTTTTTATGTGAACTGCTGCAAACACACGGGGGGGGGGGGGGGGTTATTAGGATTGGGGTCATAATACTAATAAATAATGGTAAATTGTTTTTCTTATGTCTTGTTTTTATTTTATAGTCACTTCAGACGTTTTTAGAGAAGTGTTTTCATATCTCTGTGTCTTGTTTGTACTTCCAGAGCAATAACAACACTGTCTCAATTGAAGATAGACATGGAAAAAACAAGCATTTCTAAAGTCTAAATACAAGTTCACATGTTGAATGCCTCAATAAACTACTTCTGCATTGAATTTACTGCTTATATTTATAAACTTACATGGTTTCCCTGCTGTTTAATGAAACAGATTAACTGAAAGGTAAATACTGATAAAACTTTAGAATTAAATCCAGGGAAGGATGTAGATGATATAATAAAAGAAAGTGTTTCATGATATTCAACACTGCCCATTATACAGGGAATACCTGAACAGAGGTATTTCGGCGACAGAGTAATAATGTATGTTATTACATCCTACTTTTATTGACTGATTTAAACCAACTTGTATTTAAGTCAAGTATTATAAGCAAGAACGCTTTATAAAATTTATAAATGAAAACAACTATTTAATTCATGAACAGTATACTGGCGTACCATGTATATTACAATGTATGTAGGATATTGTGGCTGAATGTTACTTTTAAATTACATGTCCATTCTATTTTGGGCATATACCTAGCTTATGTAACCTGAGACATAAATAAACTATTTATCTGTCAGTATTTACCTGCTATACACGTGTCTATCAGGGTGTGAACACCATTACTGACTGGGTGTGAACAACATCACTGACGCGATGCATCCAGTGTATGCAGTGAAGTGTGTCGTTACCGCCCTGATCTCAGCATACTGACGCTTACCTTGTAAACAAAGTCGTTATCAGTGTAGTGATTTTATCATTGCTACCAACATGCATCGGAGTGATTTTATGTATCTTATTTTGCAACCAAACCTAAGTGAAGTAATCAGCTTGACTGACAAGACATCGGAATCCTAATGACTTAAAAGAACTTCTTTGATGGGCATTTAGAAGTTGGAGTACCAAGTAAGGATAAGAATTTGTGTGTTGCTTGATAACGGTGTTAGAACCTACACCGAAACGTCGCTCTCAATTGTAATAAAGAAGTTGTTCATCCATAAATTCTTATCCTGACTTAAAAGAAGAAATTACAACACATCTGCTTTCTCAGACATCATTCCGCATAGTCACATATACTGGAAAACCATCTGTTAACTAATATCGGTAGTGGTAATTAATCACATCAGGTGATTGTTGGGGGCAGTAACAATGAACTTTTTTGGCCACATTATTAAACGAATAAACTCAATATTAAATTGGTCGCTTTACATTATCCCTCTGAAGTAGCCCCGAAATACTCTACTCACCTTTCACACTAATCAACGTTGTACATGCAGCAGTGTTGATACAATTGTGGCGACTTGTGGCGTCCTGCGTTCTTAAAGTCAGCGCTTACACAACGCTCCTAAACTCTGAACCTCCGTCGGTGCATGTACTCGAGCACGAGATGCAACGTGACTTCGTGTGTGATCCGCACTGTTGAACAAGCCCACCCCTAGTTCAGTCACAGCCAATTCGGGAAGAATTCAGCTTCTATGGGCTGCGTTTGGGTGAGCTGTTCGCGTGTCACTAACATACATAGTAAATAAGACAAAATTGTTATGGATGAGCAACTTCTTTATTACACCAGGTACATTTTAAATATTTATATATACATCTGAAGAAGTCTTTTGTGATGTAAATGAAAATAAAATATTAAACAAAATATCAGGTACATGCATTTTCCTCGGTATTTGTGTGTGTGTGTGTGTGTGTGTGTGTGTGTGTGTGTGTGTGTGTGTTCGTCATTGTTCGTCTCTTATATATGGTAGTCCATGCTAAAATGATGGATGTTCATGGATGACACTGTGCTAAATGCCTGCCACCATTATCCTTCTATTGATCAGTGAAGTACAAATTATTATTATAACTGTTTACACGGCAGTATTAACTGAACCAAGTTCACTAACCATAAGTTTCATCAGACGTCTTTGAATCTCACTTCATGTTTTGTCCGACATGAACAGACACTAGCACAACAAACAAGAATATGCACCATTAATTCAATACTTACACGTCATTATTATTGAAAGAGGGTGTTTTGTTATCACTAGGCGTCGTCGCTTGCCCTGTTCTTGCGTTGTTCTGTGTGTGTGTGTGTGTGCAGATCGCCCAAACGCACCAGGTTACGCCCACTGCCCGGGCCAGCAACAGTCTTGATGTTGTATTTACTTTTGGAGAAACGGGGTCACGACATCAGGTCACTTGGTGATATAAGGACATGTGTCCTCACATGTGTAGAATAAACACAGTTTCAAGACCTATGAGACTGAAAGGAAAAATATTCATGCAAATAATCAGGGTATCATAAATCCAAATATAAGTGTGTCTTGATGGCGAACGCAACACAACGTTCTCGTGTCTGTACATTTCTTAATAGTATGTGTCCCAAAATTGAAGTAATACTATTTATATTAACGTCAGAAAACATTTGTCTTGTGCCCGTCTCGATTCAAGGAACGATTGACGCGTTTGACTCCCTAAACGTCTCCATTGTTACAAGGTTAATACAGCTTATATAACATCGTCACACGTGTACGTCACATGACTTTTGCTAAAACTTTATAGGATCAGGATTATAACATTTAAGGCCTCAATAAAGCTTTCAAAACGTTTAATGGAAGTGATGTAAAGGGCATTTCCAAATTTGACTCAATTGTGACGAAAATGATGTCCGATGCATTTCTTTATTTTGTCTTGATTTTCAAGTGTTTGTGACGGGTGCCACCGTTTGGGCAGGATATGCTCACCTTGTCGCGAACACCTGGTTTACAGCTAAACCGAAAATCGTCAAATTAAATACCTATTTACATGTATTTGTATGTTGTGTTTTAACAAAGCTTATCTTTACATATTCACTTGGGACAAGAGTTTTACACATTATACTGCACGTGCTTTCAACATGAGTTATAAAACCGATCTTGCATAACCCAGTGCACTGACCTACATCTTGGTTGGACATGGGTTAAGTTGGGCGAGGTGGATACAAACAAGCAAACAGGGTAGAAGCAGCGGCATACGAGATCACGTGACCACCGAGCCGTGTTACCTAACTGCGCTAGTTCAGAACAGAGCGTTCGTCAGGGCAAAAAATACAATAGTCACCGTGACAGACTGTATGTTGAGGGAAATGTCCGAGCAGCTCTCCATTCCTTACAAATAATGGTGAGTTACGAGGATATTCCCCTATTTAAAACACATCCCAACTCTTATACTTTGACAAAACATTATCTTGTAGAAAATGTTTGAAAAATGTATTTGTCGAGGTGTGTCGTCATTGCGTGATGCACGAGGAATGCGTTCTCTATCGCGGTTGCACGTGCACCAAGCTCCGCCGCGAGCTGATATTTACAATACATGGCACATGACTCTATGAAATATCAGCCCTGAACAAGGATACATAATGTTTTATTATGTTTACCTGATTTTTTTTCTCGCCAAAGGTTTATCTACTAATATAAATATGTGAGTCTGTTATAGGTAACCCTCTGTAACACAGCATTATATATATTATAAGTTGTAGCATGATCACTCGGGGTACATGGGTACGGTGTTTTGCGTCCCGCGTAGGATTTATAACACGAGCCGGAGGCGAGTAGTATAAAACCTAACGAGGGACGCGGTAAATCCCATGTAAAATCGAACAGCTGTTTTCTCTCAGTTTTAAAATTTGTGTTAGTTCCTTTACAATATCACATTAAATCTTGTCGGTAATATAAATTCTTTGTAGGAAGATCACTCCGGGTACATGGAGTTTTATGCTTCCCTCGTTAGGTTTTATACCATGTAAAAACGGGGATTATCCTACCGCGGATTTCGATTGAGCTGAGGTTAACTTGTGCGATGTGACGTGACACGCTTTTTGCTTTGAAGCGGGGTGTAAGGTGAGTGAATGAGTTGGGTTTAACGCCGCTTTTAACAATATTCCAGTTATATCACGGCGTGTCAGCTTAATGTGGGAGGAAAGCCCGAAGTGGTGCAGGTCACGGACGTTTACCGCTTCGGTGAAACCCACGAGCACGGGTATGGTGCTGACAAACCTAGAAACATAATCGGGGCGAACCGGGATTCGAACCCACAATCATAGGTTTCTGGCTAGCCCAAGGGACGCAACTCTGCACAGCGAATTGCGGCGCCTTAGGCGACTGGACCACCGGTGCCCCCCGGGGTGTAAGGGATTTATTCGGTCTCTCAGAAATGCAGTGCAGTCTGCATTGCTCGTGGTGGGTTATAAAAGAATTATTTCACCGATAAGAAATTTCTTACCCTCCAAGGCGGGTTACACAGTATTTTATCAAGATCATGTGGACCAATCAGATCTAATCATTCTGATATGGAGCTATGAATTATTTTATAGCTTTTAAGGATTATGCGAATTTACGAAAATATTTAATAGGTAATTTACACACCATTTATTCACTTGTGTTGACACCGACTCTTTTAACACAAAGAGACAGGTTGGCGACAGAGACAGTGCGACGCTATTGTTGTGCTAGGTGAAGACGTGTTGTTATCTCGTTCAGCTGTTGACAACTGACACCCTCTATATAAAATGTTCAGCTGTTGATATCTACTGACACCCTCTATATATCGTGTTCAGCTGTTGCCATCGATTGACACCCTCTATATAACGTCTTCAGCTGTTGACAATGACAGACACCCCCTCTATAACATGTTCAGCTGTTGACAAGGATCGACACCCTCTATATAATGTTCAGTTGTTGACATCGACCGACACCCTCTATATAACGTGTTCAGCTGTTGACATCGACTGACACCCTCTATATAACGTGTTCAGCTGTTGACATCGACTGACACCCTCTATATAACGTGTTCAGCTGTTGACATCGACTGACACCTTCTATATAACGTGTTCAGCTGTTGACATTGACTGACACCCTGTATATAACATATTCAGCTGTTGACATCGACTGACACCCTCCATATAACGTGTTCAGCTGTTGACAAGGATCGACCCTCTATATAACTTGCTCAGCCGTCGTCAACGACAGACACCCCCTACATAACATGTTCAGCTGTTGACAAGGATGGACACCCTCAATATAACGTGTCCAGTCGTTGTCAACGACAAACACCCCCTATATAACATGTTCAGCTATTGACACGGAACGACACGCTCTATATAATACGTTAAGCTGTTGACAAGGGTCGATATCCTCAATATAACACGTTCAGCTGTTGAAAAGTATCGACACCCTCTATGTAATATGTTATGGTACAGATTGTCATGTTACAAGGAGGAGCTATACTTTTAGATAGGTTCAGCTCTTGACAGAATTGTATAGACTCTCTCTCAATACATAATATCATATATCTGGTCCAACGATTGAAGGCAAGTAAACGAAGAGTTAACTTTTATCTACCACAACAACGAGCTCAGTCAAAAACGATTTAAGATCTTGATACTACAGGAGGACATAAGGACAGTGGTGGAAAATCAATCATGTGCTTTATTACAAAAGCGTACAAAAACAGGTAAAATGAACACGTATTGACAATTGTTATGAAAATGTACCACAGCTTGTTGACGTTCAGAAGCGAAATGTAAAGTTATCATCAAGCGTTGTCACTGCTTCCTTTCTTCTGTCGGTCTCTCGAATATGTCGGAGAATTGTTAGTCCAATCTTCACCAAAAATGCGATCACCGATACGACAAGCAACACCACGGTGAATATAGAGTTAGCTGCCCCTAATTGCCAGTTCTGGACCACGCTACCAGTGAGCCCCACTATCAACACAAGGTAGGGAGAAACGGTGTAACGGGAATACTTATCAAGAAATGTCCAGTCAGAGATAGCAAATAACACCAGCTCACCAGCGAGGATGCCAAGCGAAATGGTTGAGCTCGTTCTTGGTGAGATTCCGAAGTCTCTTGCATAGGCGAGTGCTGCTGCAAGGTTAAGCAACGTGGCAAAAGTACACCAAGCTGCATACATGGCAAGGCCGTTCTGGACTAACACCCGCACCAGCCAGACATCCACCCTCCTGCCTTCTTTGACGAGGGTGGGTCTGTGGGCGGCCATGTCCCGGTAGGACAGACCCAGGCAGATGTACGTGGACAGGCATGTGAGGAGCAGGAACGCGAAGGCCAACCATAGGTACTCCCGGTCAAACAGGAGGCTCCACCCAAGGACCACGCCCCAGTTGAGGGCGGAGGTCAGGAATAACGTAGGACTCAGTAATACCGGGCTGACGTACACTGGGCCGTGGCGGGATTTCCTGAAAAAATAAAGATTCGGTTTCATTTCCAGTGCATGAGTAGATGCGCCAAACAACTTACTGATGTATTATTTTATGTTCATTGAAAGTTATTAATATATTCGTATAAGCGTTTTCCGCTATGAGTGAGTGAGCGACGTATTCAGGCGAAACAGATAATATGAATTTTAAATACATTAGACGATCATTGTTATGAGAAAAAAGAAAAATAGGTGTTGCCGGGGCCAGATGTGGCCAGGTTATCGTACATAGACTGTTGTTGTGTCTTCGTAGCTATTAAAAGAGCCAACACCACGGCTATAATACAGTCCATCCACAACCGAGTCTTTGCACAGCACTCTGCTGTGCCAGGTTTATTATCAGCTTTACTGCTGACCATGAATGCATAGTGTGGTGTGGCGATTGTTGCTGGTTTGTTTAAGGTGGTTCTAGAAGACTGGCTGTACCGATAGGAGCTACATGACACTGAACCCAGGTCTTTTTCGACCCGACTTGAGTCAAGTACTTTTCAAGTGCAGATTTGATACTCATAAGAAAACCTCGAATTCCTGCAAGCTTCCAACACTATTTGGGACTCAAGAGTCAGGTTCAAGACATTCCACAGAAAAAACCCAGGAACATTCGTAATTATACTTAATGTGAGTGAGTGAGTGAGTATGGTTTTACGCCGCCATTAGCAATATTCCAGCAATATCACGGCGGGGGACACCAGAAATGGGCTTCACACATTGTACCCATGTCGGGAATCGAACCCGGGTCTTCGGCGTGACGAGCGAACGCTTTAACCACTAGGCTACCCGACCGCCCCTTATACTTAATGGACCCATTGTATTGCCTTTGTATTGTCACCCTAAACCTGTGTTTTAATATCACGTGCTGATTCTCATTGATCTTGTGTGATCCTTTACTGATTTCACAATTTAGTTCTGTACGAACCGAATCTGGCTTTTCCTGTTTCAATTTGGAAATCGCCTCGTAACAATAGTGCCTCCATTAACACGGTGTATATTGCAGAGGGCAGCTTGTAGCACATTTACGCTGTATTGCTGAGCGAGTGAGTTTAAATCTGTCAAGCATTATTTAAGTAATATTAAGTAATATCACTGTATTATTTAAGTAATATTACTTAATCTTAATGTAGGAAAACGGTCCAATATGGTGAAGGTCTCAGACATTTACCACCTTGGTGAAACCCCCGAGTACGGGTATGGTACTGTCAAATTTTGAATTGGGACAGATTTGGATTCGAACCCCCTATCAGCGGATCCTGTCATGGGGCGTGTATTTCTGGGAGCGCGTGGGATGACGTACCTGCAGATGTTGATGAGGGCGAACACCATCCACAGTCCCTGCCACACAAAGATGACCCACCAGATAGCGAGCATCGGACTGGCCGGAGTAATCTCTACAGCATACTTGTCAGATATGTCTTTGATGTCGTAGATCAGTAGTTCTGTTATGGAACATCACACAAGATTAGATCGTCATGTGTGAATAAACAGGAGGTACATTTTGGCTCTACAAATGAAAACCTAACCTAGTGGTTGAAGCATTCTTTATCATACCGAATTGTGTTGTTTGTAATATTCCAGCTATATGATGGTGGTTTGTAAATAATCGAGTCTGGAATAGACAATCAAGTGATTGACATCATGAGCATCGATCCAAGCATTTGGGAAACAATGACATGCATCAACCGAATCAGCGAGCCTGACCACAGGATACCCGTTAGCCGCCTCTTACGACAAGCATGGGTTGTTGAAGATCTATTCTATCCCGGATCTTCTTACCGAAGTCCCGGGTTCGATTCGCCACATGGGTACACTGTATGAAGCGATAGGACTGTGAACATTGCTGAAGGCTGAACATTGCTGAAGGCAATATGGGATTCACAGTGGTTGTTCATCTAGAAAAGCATTTAACACCCATAAAGGTGGGATTCCCATGTGTGTTCACATCTTACAAGCATCACCCACCCATGCAGATGGGCTTACAAGGCGCTACTTGCGATGTATACCTGAAATGGTGGGAGTGTTTATTAACTACAGGCTCTGTCAACCCAGACAGGTTGGAGTGTTTATTAACTACAGGCGATGTTAACCAAGACATGTGGGAGTATTTACTTACTACAGGCTCTGTCAACCCAGACAGGTGGGAGTGTTTACTTACTACAGGTGCTGTAAACCCAGACAGGTGGGAGTGTTTACATACTACAGGCTCTGTCAACCAAGTCAGGTGGGAGTGTTTACTTACAACAGGCTCTGTCAACCCAGACAGGTGGGAGTGTTTACTTACTGCAGGCGTTGCCAACCAAGACAGGTGGGAGTGTTTACTTACTACAGGCTCTGTCAACCCAGACAGGTGGGAGTGTTTACTTACTACAGGCTCTGTCAACCCAGACAGGTGGGAGTGTTTATCTATTATAGGTGCTGTCAACCTAGACAGGTGGGAGTGTTTACTTACTACAGGTGCTGTAAACCCAGACAGGTGGGAGTGTTTACATACTACAGGCTCTGTCAACCAAGTCAGGTGGGAGTGTTTACTTACTACAGGCGCTGTCAACCATGACATGTGGGAGTGTTTACTTACTACAGGAGCTGTCAACCCAGACAGGTGTGAGAGTTTACTTACTACAGGCGCTGTCAACCCAGACAGGTGGGAGTGTTTACTTGCTACAGGCTCTGTCAACCCGCACAGGTGGGAGTTTTTACTTACTACAGGCTCTGTCAACCCAGACAAGTGGGAGTGTTTACTTATTGTTGGCGTTGTCAACCGAGACAGGTGGGAGTGTTTACTTACTACAGGCGCTGTCAACCAAGACATGTGGGAGTGTTTACTTACTACAGGAGCTGTCAACCCAGACAGGTGTGCGAGTTTACTTACTACAGGCGCTGTCAATCCAGACAGGTGGGAGTGTTTACTTGCTACAGGCTCTGTCAACCCGCACAGGTGGGAGTTTTTACTTACTACAGGCTCTGTCAACCCAGACAAGTGGGAGTGTTTACTTATTGTTGGCGTTGTCAACCGAGACAGGTGGGAGTGTTTACTTACTACAGGCTCTGTCAACCCAGACAGGTGGGAGTGTTTACTTACTACAGGCCTGTTAACCCAGACAGGTGGGAGTGTTTCCCTCTTCTTGTCGCTGTCAACCCAGACAGGTGGGAGTGTTTATCTATTATAGGTGCTGTCAACCCAGACAGGTGGGAGTGTTTACTTACTACAGGCCTGTTAACCCAGACAGGTGGGAGTGTTTCCCTCTTGTTGTCGCTGTCAACCCAGACAGGTGGGAGTGTTTATCTATTATAGGTGCTGTCAACCCAGACAGGTGGGAGTGTTTCCCTCTTCTTGTCGCTGTCAACCCAGACAGGTGGGAGTGTTTACTTACTATAGGAGCCACCCACCAGCTGTGGCGTCCGTCCAAGGGAGAAAATCAACAAGTTGAGGATAAGCATTGTCCAGTTGAGCAGCAAGCTCATGATAAGAACAGGAGAGTGTCCACGCGTCTCGGTAACCATGGTAATTGGATACCCTGGAAGATAACAGAAACATATCATATCATTGTCTTAGAATCATATATTATGCTACCAATACTGACACGTTTGAAAGGAAAGCTCTCGATTTGAAATCTGACGGAGGAAAGATTTATGTTATATTATTTTAAAGCATGATGTATACTGAACCAAATTAAAAACTTCACAATCCTAAAATTTTAACATTTTGACCAGTGATCATTGTGGACCCTTATTGTGTATTTAAACAGTAATGGCCACGTATTGTCTTCAGATAACACCCGTTTTTGTGCAGGTGAATCGATCAAAATCATGTGCACAGCACTATAGTGGCAAAGGTGTTTTTTCACGTGCAACTGGTCACGTGGCCATAATACCGCACGTGTTTTCAGCCACACTTGTTAGCGGTCATTAACAAAAAAAGAAAAACACAAGAAAACAAAAGTCTTTACGGCCATTTGTCATGCCACGCCTCTCAAATGTGCAACGTGAACGTGCCATCGGCATGTTGCAGACGGGAACGTCCGTAGCTGAAGTCGCAAGGACGATGGGCTGTCGACGGACTGTTTATGATTTACAGACGCGTCTACAGCAAACGGGTACCAACGCTGATCGCCCTCGGCCAGGTCGACCACGTGTGACGTCACATGCAGAGGATCGTCAGATTGTCTTACGCCACCCCCGTAACCGATTTTTGACGGCTACATCAACCAGAAATGAACTGTTTAGGGGTAGACTGAGTGCGCAAACTGTTCGAAACCGTCTGAGAACTGTTCACCTTCAAGCACGACGGCCATACTGCGGGCCGATTCTGACTCAATTACACAGACGAAGGCGGAAGCATAATGGTGTGGGGTGCTTTCTGTGGCAATGCACGTTCCAGGCTTCTTGTCATCCGTGGCAACCTCAACGCTGCTGCTTACCGCGACCAGGTACTGGCACCAGAACTTCTGCCTTTTATGGCAGTACATGGACCCGGTTCGATCTTCCAACACGACAATGCCAGACCCCACACAGCAATTTTGACGAGGAATTTCCTTCAAAATGCGGGAGTCAACGTCATGGACTGGCCGTCAAGGTCTCCCGACCTCAATCCCATCGAACACGTCTGGGATGCTCTTGGCAGAAGTCTGCGTACTCTCCAGAACCAACCACAGAATTTGCAAGATCTTGACACCATTTTGCAGCAACGATGGCGTGTCTTCCCAATCATGTGTTCAAAAGCATCACAAGGTCCATGCGGAGGCGTTGTGTGGCAGTTGTCAACGCACATGGTGGCCATACACGCTACTGAACTTGTGTGCCATCAGATTCTCGTGCTTGGGACTAATGATTTAAACTGTTGATGTTATTACCGAATACCGTAGGTGCGTGGAACAAATTATGGTTACCACCGTTAATTAAAATCCTTCTTTGGACATTAATGATTAAAAATTACCTTCTCTGATACATTTGTCCATTGTATATCATATAAGGGATTACTTTTTAAAATGTGAAGTTTTTAATTTGACTCAGTATATTTACATGGTGCTTTATGGCAAAATTACTCGGGTTTATTAATAACAACAACGATAACAATAATGATTGTCTGGATGTCCTGAACACTGTGTTTGGCTCTCTCTATTAATGAAAACAACATCCTAAAGCAGTAACCGAACAAATAACTTAGTAACAAAAATCTTTTTTTTCCATAATCATGAAATATAAAACGTCAGCACCAGGTATATTTGTTTGTTTGTTGTTGAACGCCACACTCCGCAGTATTGCAGCTATATGTCGGCGGTCTGTACATCGTCTAGTCTGAGTGAGTGAGTGAGTATGGTTTTACGCCGGTTTTAGCAATATTCCAGCAATATCACGGCGGGGGACACCAGAAATGGGCTTCACACATTGTACCCATGTCGGGATTCGAACCCGGGTCTTCGGCGTGACGAGCGAACGCTTTAACCACTAGACTACCCGACCGCCCCCGTCTAGTCTGAACCAGACAATCCAGTGAATGACATCATTAGCATCGATCCACGCAACTGCGATACAATTACATGCAACAACCAAGTCAGCGAGTCTGACCACTCGGCCCCGTTGGTCGTCGCTTACGACAAGAATATTACCTCTTATGCCAAGCATGGGGTGCTGAACACCAATTCTACCCCGGATCTTCACGGGTCGTCAAACCAAACTGTGTAACTAGTCACCTGTGTCTGCTTGTATGGTGTCATGGACCAGTGCTAGAGAGAGATGGTGTTTTCCCGACTTTATGCGTATTTCTCACACGGGCCCGCCAGGTCAATTAGTGGTTTGTGTATGCGAGTCTTCAGAACAACAACACAGTGTCATTAGACAATGACGTTAAGACTCTTTTGTTCAGGTATTCCTAAGTTACGTTTTTGTGTGTGCCTTGTTATTTGGGTTGGCCCCACTTTGTCGTATTTAATCGCTTTACTTCCTTTTCAGTAAGTTCATTGTTTCCCAAACAATTGTGTATAATAACAACAGTAACTAAAGCTTGTCTTCGTGGAGTTGGACCCCTCACAGTAATCTCCTTAATTAGCACCTCTTGAACAAACACCCACATTGTTTATATTGTTGTCATTGTTTATCGGTGTAAACATCAAGTACAAACAATAGCCCGGGATTCCGATTCTTTGTGAACGCGAGATGTCGGGTGGTACAGATGTGACTTCAACGTTTAAAACTGCACACACTACCTAACACATCGAACCGCATTACAAACCACCCTCAATCTAAACAAGGTTCTCACTCTAGAAGCAATACTAAACCCACAAAATAAACTAGAAAACTTCAAGGCCTTAGGCGTATTCTTAATCAAAACGGAACTAATATAACGCATCTAAAAACACTATAATCTACCAAATCAAAAATACATAAACAAACAAACATCCACCATACCCAGCTCCCTTAGTTCTCCTCCCCAATCCCATCGACATCTATTCCAAATCTCAAAATTCCCAAATTCTATATAAGCAACCCCTAAAGCCCCCTATTGGATTGCACACACCACTTTCGCCCCTTTCGGAAACACATTAAATGGCCTGGCCGGGCCCGTGTGCGAAATACGCATCAGTCGGAAAGCGCACGTTAAATCTCCAAAGTAAGTAAGTAAGTAAGTTAAAACGAAATACATTAGAGTACGGGTATATGTGAAAGGTGGAACGAGTCCGCCATCCGGATCACTATCATCAGGAATATACTATATACTGATATACTATTCCAAATGTGGACTCATACGAAGAGGTGACCAGGACAGTGGTCCCAAGGATCAACTGATTAATAGTTTAAATCTTATATTCGCCCTGCTTACGACCCTCCTTCTCTTTCTCCTCCCATTTCTCCATAATTACTTTCCTCACCGAGCAAGACTATTTCTACTCAATGTTTTTTCAATTGTACACAGTGTATAAAGTGGTTGGTTGGTTTGTTGTTTAACGCCGCACTCAGAAATATTCCAGCTATATGACGGAGGTCAGTAAATAATCGAGTCTGGACCAGACAATCCTGTGATTGATATCATGAACATCGATCCACGCAATTGGGATCGATGACATGTATCAACCAAGTCAGCGAGCCTGACCATCCGATCCCGTTAGTCGCCTTTTACGGCAAGTATGGGTTTTTGAAGACCTATTCTACCCCGGAATCTTCACGGATCGTGTATAAAGTGAGGAAAGTTATTATCCCGAACGAGTGAATATCTGCAGCTATTGCTTGCACATGAAAACAAATCAGCCCATGCTGGCCAGGATCGCCAGAAGGTTTCTACATCCACCTCACATATCGGGTACCCATTCCCTGCTGGGGGAACAGAGGCACATTTGAACTAAGTCACTTGCCCAGGCTGAATAACAACCCGGCCACCAGCGGGATATGATTGATCTCAGCATCTGGCGGTTGCTAGCCCGGCGCTTTCCCACTAAGCTAGTTTAGTTAGTTGTGTTAGTTAATTTAGAATTAGTTTGCATTTAAGTGTTGTTATTGGGGTTTAAACGTAACTTAAGGGATGTAATAAATCTTTAAAAACTAAATTTGTGTTTGTGGTTATTTCAATACGTGACAGGGAACCAGGCTACTGGGAACTTACCTGTGTTTGCTGGCCGCAGACGATGAGAAGCAGGTGGCAGATGGACTGTCTAACATTCGCTTTGAGGTGGGGATTACAGCTTACGACTGAAGAATCAAACAAGCTGTTTTGCGACCGGTTTTAGTGGACATTTCGTATGAATATGGTATGGTTGTGTACTGTGAATATTCTCAATCCAGCAATGATTTCCAGAGTGTAGTAAACCGGATGCCAGTTGTCTTGGAGTATGCTCCGCTGTAACATACATACACACCCGTGGGTCTGCCAGGGAGAGGATACTTGCCGAAGGGAAGACTTCTGACCTTTCAGCTATATCTGCAGCGTTAAACCTCGCCAATTTCAATTGGTGTTTACGCTCTATTTAAAATGTATAACTCTTTCTAAATATACATTTGCACAAGAAAGATTTCGTTCACGGGAAAAAGGGTTGTGTATCAATAGTAAAATAATCATGTAGAAGATGATCATTATTTTTTTATTAGTATGATTCTCTTCGTAAAATATGTATACCTAATAATTATGTTGCGCAACCCTCTGTTCATAATTTTAATATTCTTTTATCAACATCAAATGTGAACACCATCCAACACATAGCCATGTTTGTCGCCCATGCAAACTGTCGGAGAGATCCTTGTTAGTGTTTGTGTCATTCACAATATACTGTCTGGCGTACACAATGTACTTGCTACAGTGCAACAATGTTATGTTCATGTAATAATGGACAGCCATCGTGAACAAAACTACTATACACAATTGAAAGACAGTACACAATTCAATGGCAGTACAAGCACAATAGCAATATTAAATATGATAGCAGTGGTGATAGAAAATATCAGTGATGATAATATTAACCAAGCAGCAACAGTGGTCAAGCACGTTCTTGTTCTCTTATTTCCAAAAATCCAATCTGGAAATTTTCACAAAGTGCCAGACCAGTCTAGAGGCACTGGAACATTACAGAAGATTCTAGATCACTCTTGACCACACAACCATCTAAATATAGCAACTTCCACAACGCTGATTACGTAGTGCTACATTCCTGACAACTAATTATTGTCCAAACACAATGCCGTAAACTTCCAGTAAATGTAACTTATATACTACAATTGTAACATTGTTTAACAATAAGTTACCCTGCAATATGACAATAATGTAACTAGGACATTAAGCTCACAGTCGTAGCAGTTGAATACAATATCTGTTCTGGGTGGAATTGGGTTGATCGCATTCACTGGAGCGATGCAGAACACGGCCCTTTGTAAGACTAAACTGTATGTTGCCATTTCCTTCCTTTTGCTTTCGAGATTTTAGTACAAATTAAATGCAACGGAAGGATGTGTGTTCTTACATAAAGATCTATAATCGGATTATATCTGGTACGAATTGATATACAACCGTGATGTGTAATCGGCCGTAGCGGCTCGCAAGTGGAGGGAAGCAGTACGGGTTTACCACGAAGAACACCACAACGCAAATTGTGAAACATTTGGAAAAATAAGACCTTTATTTCTATCAAAGGTAGGTGATATACGCTGACGTAATATTTACATTAAAATGAAAAAAAAATAATACCATGAAAAACACATAACACAGGCAAGTTACAGGCACACATTACAGGATGGATGAGTGTTGAGTCAAGTATTACAAAGTCAGTAATTGCAGTAATGTCTTTTGAAGTGTGAATGAGGCTGGAATGGCGGTGCAGGAACACACCAGTGTCCAACAGGGTGAGCATCATTGTCCAATGGGTCACCATAGCAACCTCACTATAACATAGAAGGTTAACCAGCCGGGGATTGTATCAATCCTAGAAGTGCACAAAAAACAAAGTCCATGGTGATGTACTCGCTCATAAGGGATAATGCCCGTTTTGAGGTAAAGGGAGATATTCAGATATTGTCATCATGTGTGTTTTAACTTGGTGACTTCACGCTGTTCCGCCTTGCGTTGACTCTGTCGTTGGAATGAACACTTTCTGTCTGCCTGTGTCCCGGAAGTGACGCCACAACATCACGATCATCTTCACGACTAAACAAAACACCGCCATACCCAGCAATACAGCAGTGAAGATCGAGTTCCGCTTCTCGGGATTCCAGTTGTTAATGATACTCCCGGAAAGGGCGATAATCACGACGATGTACTCGCTGAATATATACCTCGTATACCTGTCCAATACGGTCCAGTCTGAGATGGAGAATACCACAAGCTCCACGGCCAGGATACTTAATGCGATTGTGCTGGACGTGCTCTGGTCAAATCTGGGGTGTTCGCCGTAGGTCAGGGCAGTGGCCACGTTCAGGAGAGTAGCAATGGTGCACCAGGCTCCGTAAAACGCCAGTCCGTTTTGAACAAATGCCCGGATGAGCCAGATCTCCTTTTTCCGCTCTTGTTTGATGAGTGTCTCGGAGTGCTCAGCCAGGGCTTTGCAAGAAAGACCAATGAGTGTGTATATGGAAATAGCGGCGAGAGCCAGAAACACAAACGACGCCCATACTAGCTCCCAGCACCACAGGAAGGTCCAAGAAATGACGATAAACCAGTTGAGGATGGAGAGGCTGAAGAAGGTCGATGTGAGCAGGGCGGGGCTGTTGTAGACGTAGCCGTCGGGGGCACGGCGGCAGATGTTGACGAGGGCGTAGATAGTCCAGATAGCCTGCCACACGTAGATGGCCCCCCAGATGCTAAAGGTGGGACCAGAGGGCGTGATCTCGAGCATTAGCTTGTCCGAGATGTTTGCAATCGTATTTGGGTAGAGCTCTAAAATATACAGCAACAGCACAATGTCAGTTTTCTGCTTCAATATTGACAACTTTTTGGTCTCGGCCCGTCGAGAAAAAAAGTAATTATGCTTTAGACTAGCTGTAAACATACTAGCCCCCTCCCCTCACCCCCCGAATATCTAATTTGTGTAGTATATATTACAAATCCAAGTGAATTCATCAGTGCCGGACACTGGCTGTCATGGCTACCTTCGGTAAGAGGTACCCCTGCGCCGTGGCAATGTTCCTTGGGTTGACAGCAAAATACCAGTCTTAAGGGTTGTCAGACAAGGGGGAAACGTGGCGTGTAAGTAAACTCGGGCTTTTCTCCCACATTAATCTGACACGTCGTGATGTAACTAAAATACTGTTCAAAGTGATGAGTTACAAGTCCTTAAAAAGTGATAAGGAAAAGCTGGAAGGACGCTAGGAGTAGTACAAGTGTATGCCATGAAACCTACAACGAAAGGTATGGTGGCGACAGACTACCCTATCGTCCTACCCCATGACCAGCGGTTCCCACCATAAATAGCGGGTCTTTAGACTACCTGTAAGTTGATGATATGTAGTGAAGAAAGTTCAGTGTTGCAATTTGCTATACAGGAGCACGTTTGACACTTTATGCACGTGGTGACGGTGTTGATGGCGAGGCGTCCACGCAAGCAAAAGATGGTGATTTGAGTGCAAATGTCTAGCACCCGACTGACTGCACAGGTGTGCATACTCCCCAGGGAGTTGAGAACGATAACTGGATGTGAGATGTAACGTCGCGTCCAAGATTATTGCACTTATATACAAATGCCGATTTTATACAGGTAGCACCCTGATATACCATGTCGCAGTTTAACATGAATATCCCACTCAGACACAGTATACTGACTTCGAACAGACCAGTCCTTGTTTTTGCCCCTTAATGCCGAGCCCCAGACAGGGTAACAACAAGTACCATCTTTGAACGTATATTCGATATGACAAGGCCGGGGATCGATCCCCGGAGCTTGCGCTCTCCGGGCGAACGCTCTACCACTAGACCACTGAGGTGGTAATACAAACGGATTCACTGGTCGGGGAACTAAAAGCGCCTGTGAACAGGTACTCTGAAACTTCAGCGCTATATAAATTGATAAAATTAGATTACTGCACTGAACGTCACTTATTTCGTTTCGTTGTCTACATTGTGTTTCGTGTTTATGATTGAATAAACAGCCTGTGAACTAACTATTGGTGCCTGATATTTTTCCGTGATCAATTGATTTGCCCATGTTTGTGTTTGTGACCGGTGCACGCTCACTTTTTCACGAACACTTGGTATCCTCACAATTTGATTATGCTTCATAAACACATGCTCAAGGCATAGTCGGAATCAGACAATGGACTCATTTTTGACATGATTTTGGAAAGGGTTTGTCACTTTCATAGTAAAGGGGTTGTGTGAGTGAGTAACAAAAATTATGTGTGTTATACTACACAAAGCTTGTTTACTTATTTACTTAATATATTATAATGGTTATAATTGTTTGTCGCCATATAAAACATAAGCAACAAAACCCCTTCCATATTCATAAAAATAAAGCGACAAAACCCTTTCCATATCCAATAGAAAACACTGCATAAAGCAGAGTCGATTGTAGAATTTCGACTGTATCATGAGCACGTGTTTATGAATCAATATCAAAAAGTAATGATACCAGGTGTTCGCGAAACGGTAAGCGTATCCTGCCCCACCGGTGGCACCCGTCACAAACACATGCAAAGGGAAGTCAGTTGTTCACCGTAGTACGTTGATGCGCAGTTTGGGGCAATTGCGACGACATGCTAACGTGGTATGATTTCAACACCTATTTCAATTAATAGAAATAAGGTAAATTCTTATGTTTCTGGTATGTAATATGTATACTTTTCCTGTTAACGGGGTCCCGGCGCCTGTGTTGTTTTCATGATCGGTCGTCAGAAGAAAGATCGGCTTTGAAAAACGACTACCAGAGGACGGTTTCGGGACTAAATCATAAAATTCCACATGGACCATGCACTTCCTCCGTGCACCCTGTTATGTGGTCATTCTTAATTTTGACACTTAAGAGAAAATCGTCCAATTGCTCTGAGCAATTGGTATTGTAAACTTTTATTATCCACAGCAACACGTTAGTTCTTTTCTTGGAATTTGGAACAGGTTTCTGCAGTTACAAAATGTTAACAATCGGCTCCGCACAAGGCGCAAATAACTGAGTACCTCAAGCAGCGAAACATTACCAGAATGCAATGGCCAGCCAGAGTCTTCACCTTTCCCCAACAGAGTATGCCTTGGACATGATCCGGAGACGTGCGCGGCGATGTCAAAGGCCATCCGCTACGTTAGCAGAACTGGGCCAGGCGCTGCAAGAGAAGTTGACAGGACTCTCTCAATTTGTCATTGGAAGATTGATTCGGACCATGCCATTCTGTATGAACAAATGTTTGACCAATCGTGGCGGTATGTAGTGTTTCAGCATAAGTAATTTTTATTCGGTTTCTGCTGGCTTAGAAAGGCTTTGTTGTATTTTCCTTATTTAATGTATTGTCCGAAATTGCCGGACGTATCCTGCAAGCACGCTGGATGTATACATTCATCAAAGGAACTATTTTAAAATCGTTTTCCTGAAGGACCAGATAGTGAGTGAGTTTGGTTTAACGCCGCTTTTAACAGTATTCCACTTATATCACAGCGTGTCAGCTTTGTGTGGGGGGAAAGCCCGAAGAGATGAATGTCTCAAAAGTTTAAATCTTGCACAAGGATGTATCCATCTGGTGGACATATTTCGTGGATCGGAATATAGGGTCAGTCTTGTACCTCAGTAATATGAGCGCGATCTTAATTGCTACAATCTAATTTGTTATCCCGAGAATTAGAATAAACACGATCATTACAAGCAACGTCAATCATACTGAGGACGACAACTGTCAGTACATAATGAACAAACTGGCGATTCGACATTTCCAATTTTAAATAAATAAACTTACTTTAGGATGGTTGGACGTTTCCTGGCTTCGCCGCGTTACTGTGAGCGAGAATGAGATGACAAGATTAGTCATATGAGTGTGTCACTCACCAGTATTGTCATGTCGCTCCCGACCTCGCTATCAGTTACCCAGTACTTAATTAGTGAATAAGTTATAAATAGAAAACAAATAACAAACTATTTAATCTTAAGTGCAAAGGGAAACTAGGTCTATGGACAGTGTTCGCCTGGACAACCTTTCATTATTAAGAAACTCTATACCCGCTTATTGATTGGTAGATCGCGTGAACAGGTGCATCCCTCAGTCATTTCAGAATCTGATCATCACAGGGTCACATCCCTCCAGGGAAGTTCTCCAGTGCCTAACGGTACTCATGGAATCCACTAAAATGCTGAACGTCTACGACCTTCATTACTTCAGGCATTTCTCCCACATTACGCAGACCTTTCCGTGACAAAAATGAAATGCTGTTCAAAGTGGCGTGAATGAAAGTGACAAACATGTCAACACTAAAACGTTTTGAAAGCTTTACTGAGGCCTTACTGTAATCTTGATTAAACAACGTCTCAGGCTCTTTGGAATCTTGGTACAAGGAGCATGCTCGATTGTACCTCGGAAATTGTGAAAGAGCTGAAGCTGCCGTTTTTGACATTCTACCAGGGATTAATCGTACAGTTGATCATGAAGTCATCTCAAATAAGTGACTTGGATCATTGACAGGAAAATAAGAACACATTTAACCCGCTTGACAATTAAAGTGTTTTATCCAAACTACTATATATTACTAATTAACGTATGTATCTGGACATTGGTTAATTTCCCTCAATACTTTCAATCTTGGAACATAATTCAAAATTATGAACCAACGCAGTATTTTATTTAAGTTTAATGAAATTTTCCTGTTTCTTGAATAATGTCGAGTGCCGCGTTCAGAAACAGAGTAAAAGAATTATGTTTCACGTTCTTAACAGTTAGCTGTTATGTATTCATCTCAGTATCAGCGTGTTCATCTGCATCTATACAATTATGTAGAAACATTTAAGTAAACTAAGCGGCAAAAGAAAGTATAGGTTGGCAATTTGTAATTTTCCAAAAAAACAGCGATAACTGGTGGAAAGTGGGTATTGGGAATATGACTGCCTAGGAACGGGTACCAAAAAACATCTCACCCGTGCGCGTCACTTTTGACGGCGCTCGTGCGTTGACAATAAAGTGGTGAAACAGGTTTCCCGCCTATGGCATAAACTGCACGTGCATGTTAGCTATATAAATGCGTTCGTCTGCAGGGTAAAACCACACTTGACGAAAGCACACAAAATAAATACCACGACTGTCACAGGAGCAGAGAGAGAGAGAGAGAGAGAGAGAGAGAGAGAGAGAGAGAGAGAGAGAGAGAGAGAGAGAGAGAGAGAGAGAGAGCCATCGGTATGGCCGAAATTGGGGCAACACAGGTCCAAATTGCAAGGTTTGGTTGTAAACCACTGACAGTAGCCAGGCTGATTCAACGGTACAGGCAGACAGGGAGGACAGGCCTAGAACCGGACGACCCCGAGTGACAACACCACCGGAAGACGGTCAGATACGTCTCATTCACCTGCGAAACCGATTCGTAACGGCGACGGCGACGGCAGCAACAGCGTTTGGAAATCCCATAAGCCAACGTACAGTACTACGACGACTTCTTTCCGAGGAATGGTACTGACTGCTAAACATCGGCGCCTGAGACTACGATGGGCGAGGCAGGTTCGACGCTGGCAAGTGAGAAATTGGCGTCGGGTGCTGTTTACTGATGAAAGTCGGTTTAACTTGTTTCGAAATGACGGCAGTGAACGAGTTTATCGACGCAGAAGGGAACGTTTGGCTCCGGCGTGTATTCTAGAGGTCCATCCATTCGGCAGGGGAGGTGTCATGGTGTGGGGCGGTATTTGTGGAGATCAGAAGACTGAGTTGGTGATTATACAGGGAAACCTGAACGCTGTGCAGTACAGAGACCAAGTGTTGCAGCCAGTTGTGCTTCCGTTCTTACAAAACCAACAGCAGGGGACATTGTTTCAACACGACAATGCCGTGGGACTATCTGAAAGACAGATTAGAGCACGCCATCCGTCTCCCGTCAACAGACAAGAATTGCAGCAGGTCCTTAGAGACGAGTGGCAACGGATTACAGTCCACGTCATCGATGAGGCGGCGTATCACAGCATTCATTGAGGCAGCTGGAGGTCATACACGCTATTAAAGGCAACTGTGTTGGCAATGAACTTGTAGTGTGTCTGACAATTGTTTGGTGACATTTCAGACAACTTTTGAAAATGAATTTTCTTACCCCACCATTGTTTTGCTCGAGCTTACATTACCTGTGATTGCACAATTTCATTCAAACTCTGGTTGATCATGGAACTCGACCTATACCTATACTTTCTTTTGCTGCCCAGATTATCTTATGTCCTCTTTTTGCTACGTTGAAGTTGGTTCAAATACGCATCATTTGTTAGAATGAGTTACATATTGGAAATATTAATTTGAACTGTAACTCAAATGAAATTCAGCTAATTTGAAATGAATGTAGAGTATGGCAGGTGTCACGTGACACTATGTGGATAAAATGAACCGCCAGCTCGACGAAGTCAATACTAAACCCCAAAATGTGGTTTTAGCGTTTGAGCTGACATTGTGGAAGGGTTTGGACTGATTGTCCTTTTTATTACACATGGAGGGACGTATCTCGTTTTGAGAACTATGAACTAGTGTCAAACATTGAGGTTACCATCAAGAGCAAATGCTGACGATTAACTCATCTTCAATCGGTTGTCAAAAGACAATCCTCTCATATTAACTTAATTTCCTGTATTTTTAATAAGTTGCATGAATTAATCGCATAGGCATCTATTACTGGGTGCTTGCCATTGAGAAGGTTACCTCTGTAACCGAATATTCTAATTCTCTGATATTAAAGACATGTGAGATACATTCAATAACAGATTAGAGACTATCACTTGTATCGGTGTCAGCAATAAGACAAATGTGTTTCAGGACACGTCTATAAAAGAGAATGTCGACAGGAGAATATCACTACTTGTTCTTTGGATCCAAGATGGCGTCCTTCGTGCTTGTTCTCCTGCTGTTCGCGTGCTCAGTCCAACTATCGTACTCGCATGGACGTCCGACATACGTCGACAAATACGATATTAACTTCATGTGTACACTGGCTAAAAAGTACTATTCTGACTACTGTCAAGTCAACCAAGCGTCAGGACCCGCACCAGTCCGAAACCCCGGGAAGCAGACACGAGGACCAAGGAAACCATGGTCAAGGAATCCAAAATCAAGGAAACCCAAATCAAGGAAACCCAAATCAAAGGAACCAGAGCCGACCACAGCACCACCGACTCCACCACCGACCACAGCACCACCGACCCCACCACCGACCACAGCACCACCGACCCCACCACCGACAACAGCACCACCGACCCCACCACCGACCACAGCACCACCGACTCCACCACCGACAACAGCACCACCGACCCCACCACCGACCACAGCACCACCGACTCCACCACCGACCACAGCACCACCGACCCCACCACCGACCACAGCACCACCGACCCCACCACCAGCAGAATCAACAATGCCGACAGTCGCGGATAAAACCTTCTGTATGAACCTTTCCTTTCCCTTGATATCAATGCTGTACATGTAGACATTATGTCAGATGGTTTGAGTCCTTAGAAACGTGGAGACGTTTGTGTTGGGTCGGTCTTCGATACACTAGTATTTGTTCCACGTGTAATGATATTAAGAGCCTTGGTGTGGTGCAATAAGACAGGTCATAATCTCAAATATAATCTTATAAATGGTTTTGGTTTCATGACACTTATTTAGAACTGTAGGCCTGTAGGTATTTCACAATAGAGAAGTGTTCCTTTGAGAGGTAGAAGTCTTACAGTGAGAATGTTGAATGCATACTGGTGTTTATTGAATTGTTTTTTATCTTGATTTCAGTAACTGGGTGCACGCAACGATGTGTCCGCAGCGACCTAGTGGCTTCACTGTGTAGTACTGGGACGCTGGCGGCGAAATGTGACAATCTTCTTGTTGCAGACTATGTGGGCTCGTATACCTGCTGTTCAGGTTAATACAGGTAAGCCTCAGACCTTATTGCAAATGTTTACATAATTGTGATGCCGGCAAACACATTCCTTTCGTAAATTGGATAGAACTGTTTCTGTTTCAACACATTATCTAAACAATACTTGCATCAGTGTATCAGTTCAAACAATTCAGACAGCTGAAATAGCGCCATGTTAAACAACGACTTATAGAGTATTTATGGCTTTGCCAGTAAATTTAACACCAATATGTTGATGCCCATATAGAGTAATTCAATTAGTTCACAAATATAAATTGTCAATGCAAGAGAATAACCGGATTATCCAACGAAACAGATTCCATTTGAAAATTATATGAATGAACAATTGAAAATTAGGGATGACCACTGGTGCTACCGAAAAGGGTAAGCATCCGCCATTCAAACAATTTGCATAGAAATGTAAGTATTTATTGCCTGACGCCACGACATGGGCCCTTTGTGCCCAATCAAGTAGGTATACAACAATCCATGACTTACCACCAGCGTAATTTCAGACACAGTTTTGTTTTTATATTTTAGCGGACGTCGCAACATCTCCACTGCATACGGAACTCGGTGAAATAGTGTCTTGGTATGGAGGGGAATCCAAGTTCAACCCCTGTGTGTGGTAGATCGATTATAATGGTTAACAGGGCATCAGTTGCCCTTGGTAACAGTTTAGTTAAGATTCTCTGCGAAGGTACTGTCAATATTAATAGTATGCACAATTATCAATTATCACGGTTGTACACAAAATGTTACATATCAGTTGGATATAGATTCTTCTCCTTCCTATACCTAAATGTAAATAAACTGATGTTCCAGCAATTTGTGTTTTGTCTTCACTTCGTGATTGGCGGTAGGGTAGCCTGAAGGTTAAAGCGTTCGCGGGCCGGGTTCTATTCCCCACATGGGTACAATATGTGCAATCTCATGTTGGATTATGTCCAGCTAAACAAGCAGTAATCCAAGATACCCTCACGCTTCTGGAATCCACACATCACTGAGCACATTTAGCTGTGGAAGTGAAGCCGTGTTTGATTGATCAGCAGTTATGTTGATGAAGCAATGTCATCATGACGTTCCTAACTCTGTTGATAGGAACCTCACATCAAACCGTTTAGTAACTTCCTGTCACATGATGGTCACGTGGTGACGGTGTTGATAGCGAGGCGTCCACGCAGGCAAGAGATGGTGATTTGCGTGCAAATGTCTAGCACCCGACTGACTGCACAGGTGTGCATACTCCCCAGGGAGTTGAGAACGATAACTGGATGTGAGGTGTAACGTCGCGTCCAAGATTATTGCACTTATATACAAATGCCGATTTTATACAGCTAGCACCCTGATATACCATGTCGCAGTTTAACATGAATACCCCACTCAGACACAGTATACTGACTTCGAACAGACCAGTCCTTGTTTTTGCCCCTTAATGCCGAGCCCCAGACAGGGTAACAACAAGTACCATCTTTGAACGTATATTCGATATGACAAGGCCGGGGATCGATCCCCGGACCTTGCTCTCTCCGGGTGATCGCTCTACCACTAGACCACGGAGGCGGTAATACAAACGGATTCACTGGTCGGGGAACTAAAAGCGCCTGTGAACAGGTACTCAGAAACTTCAGCGCTATATAAATTGATAAAATTAGATTACTGCACTGAACGTCACTCATTTCGTTTCGTTGTCTACATTGTGTTTCGTGTTTATGATTAAATAAACAGCCTGTGAACTAATCATTGGTGCCTGATATTTTTCCGTGATCAATTGATTTGCCACTGTTTGTGTTTGTGACCGGTGCCCGCTCACTTTTTCACGAACACTTGGTATCCTCACAATTTGATTATGCTTCATAAACACATGCTCAAGGCACAGTCGGAACCAAACAATGGACTCATATTTGGAAAGTGTTTGTCACTTTCAGATAAGTAAAGGGGTTGTGTCAGTGAGTAACAAAAACAATGTGTGTTATATAACACAAAGTTTGTTTACTTATTTACTTAATATATTATAATGGTTATAATTGTTTGTCGCCATATAAAAAAAAAGCAGCAACAAAACCATTTCCATATTCATAAAAATAAAGCGACAAAACCCTTTCCATAATCAATGGAAAACACTGCATTAAGCAGAGTCGATTGTAAAATTCCGACTATATCATGAGCATGTGTTTATTAATCACTATCAAAGAGTAATGATACCAGGTGTTCGCGAAAAGGTATGCGTATCCTGCCCCACCGGTGGCACCCGTCACAAACACATGCAAAGGCAAGTCAATTGTTCACCCGAGTATCTTGATGTGCAGTTTGGGGCAATGGCGACGACATGCTAACGTGGTATGATTTCAACACCTATTTCAATTAATAGAAATAAGGTAAATTCTGATGTTTTTGGTATGTAATATGTATACTTTCCTGTTAACTACTGTCTGCCAATCACGGACATGAATGTCTGCCAAATACCGAGATTCTCGACCTGAGTAAAATACAGTTCTGTTCTGAATGTTTCTTGTGAACAAAGAAAACTGTAACAAATGTTATATTGGGATAACACTTCCTTAGTAAAGTACACACTCTAATACTTTTGAGGATTGTACTTTACTAAGGAAGTGTTATCCCAATGTAACATCAGTTACATCTGACCACTTTCTAAACGGCATCGTGTATTCATAGAAAACTGGAAAAAAACGTTGTTCCCGAGCAAGGATACTCTGTGTTGTTGAGTCACTCAACGTTTGTGAGAGATGACATCGAGCTATGGAAGTGATCAACATCACCACAAACATACACACCTTGTGATGTTTAATGTCAATCAATGACACGTTCATAAATGTGCTTAGGATTTAAACGTGTTTAGGCTCAACGTATTCACAATCGTAATATACTCTGTACATGTACATGCTTGATAATGGTGTTAGAACCTACTCAAAAACCTCGCTCCTAATTGTAATAAATAAGCTGTTCATCTATATATTTTATCCTTACAATCGTAAGGTCTGTGAAGCAACAAGTCAGGTCAAACTCGTCTATGGGCAGCAGCACAGTGACACGGTAACCGCAGCAATACTTTATCTTGACAAAGGTGCAGAGCGAGATCAAAGGGCGATGCAAGGCCGAGCCCTATTGTTGTCACAGTTGTTCCATTTGATGACGTACTGTCACGAGTCCTCTCTCTGTCTCAAATCACAGCCGAATGTTGGAGTTCCGTGGATATTATATCAGTGTATATTGTGAACAACTCGAACAAACGGCACTTTTCAGTATCCACTCAAGGCCAACGAACCAACGGCCTTGGGCCCGTTTCACGAAGCAATCGTAAAGTTACGGCTGCCGTTACTCCCATAGCTCAACACAGGCTTACATAGACTAACTTACCCCTGCGATCGCGTCGTCAAACGGGGTCCCGGCGCCTGTGTTGTTCTCCAGGTATATATAACACTGACGTGATAAGTGTAAAGTTTGTTAACACTACCAGGATATAATGGCACTTGACGTCACCGACACGTATATTTTCTCTGCTAGGTTGTGTAAGACAATAAGAGTTTCACCATGTACCACTTCAGTGAACCATGACACGTGCGTGCATCTGTAGTTAACAAAGCGAAATAAAAACCAAACACATTCAGTGTCTTAAGTTTTAATGCATAAACGTATTTCGACTGGAAGATGTGATTAACATATGGTTATCCGATTAATCACTGAAAATGCTATCACACAAAGACGTGAGGTGGTATGGAGTGTAACGTCGCATTCCTGATTTCTGACTTTAGCCACTTACATGACGTATGTGTGGCTGCTTGTACTAGTCCGGTTTTATAGTGCTAGACCACTGAGATACCATGCCGCAGTGTAACATAATATCCCACTCAGACACAGTATACTGACTCCAAGCAGCCAGTCCTTGTTTTAGTCCCTTAATGACGAGCGCCAGACAGGGTAACAACAAGTACCATCTCTTAACATCTTTTGGAATGAGGCGTCCGGGTTTCGGATCCCCGACCTTCCGCTCTCCCGACAAACGCTCTACCACCGAGCTACGGAGTCCTATTTAAGTTTTAAACACATTTAGATTTGATAATGTGTTTAGATTGTAGATAGAATGCTAAACATATACTCCTACAAAATGTAGGGGATGTTCAGATATAAATTTTATGATCAGTCATCAGAAGGAAGATCGGCTTTGAAAAACGACTACCAGAGGACGGTTTCGGAACCAAATCTTAACATTACACATGGACCATGCACTTCCTCCGTGCACCCTGTTAGGCGGTCATTCTTAATTTTGACACTTAAGAGAAAATCGTCCAATTGCTCTGAGCAATTGGTATTGTAAACTTTTATTATACACAGCAACACATTAGTTCTATCCTTGGAATTTGGAACAGGTTTCTGCAGTTACAATATGTTAACAATCGGCTCCGCACAAGGCGCAAATAACTGAGTACCTCCAGCAGCGAAACATTACTAGGATGCAATGGCCAGCCAGAGTCCTCACCTTTCCCAAACAGAGTATGCCTGGGACATGATCCGGAGACGTGCGCGGTGATGTCAAAGGCCATCCGCTACGTTAGCAGAACTTGGCCAGGCGCTGCAAGAGGAGTTGACAGGACTCTCTCAATTTGTCATTGGAAGATTGATTTGGACCATGCCATTCCGTATGAACAAATGTTTGACCAATCGTGGCGGTATGTAGTGTTTCAGCATAAGTAATTTTTATTCGGTTTCTGCTGGCTAAGAAAGGCTATGTTGTATTCTCCTTAGTTTTCCTGTAGGACAAGATGGTGAGTGAGCTGGGTTTAACGCCGCTTTTAACAGTATTCCAGTTATATCACAGCGTGTCAGCTTTATGTGGGAGGAAAGCCCGAAGTGATGCATGTCTCAAAAGTTTAAATCTCGCACAAGGATGTATCCTTCTCGAGGACATATTTCTCGGATGGGAATACCGGGTCAGTCTTGTACCTCAGTAATATGAGCGCGATCTTAATTGCTACAATTCCCAATGTGATCCCGAGAATTAGAATAAACATGATAGTGTTTACCTTTGTAATACCGAAATTGTTGTCGGTGATGGCACTGTATATAATTATTCTTGTGATATCTGACCCAAAGGTATAACGGGTGTACAGCTCATTACAAGCAACGTCAATCATACTGAGGACGACAACTGTCAGTATCATAATACTAAATGCAATTGTCGAGGCGGTGCTAGGACCAAGAGGTGAAACGGACCTGAAAGCAATAACTTTACTCAACGAGTTAACTGCATGACTAAGACTCCATGTAAACATCGCAGACACTCCATTGCTTACAAACAATCGGAACAGGACATCATCATATCGCCTGCCTTGTTTCGCCAGATCAAACCTGGATCTGTAGAGTTGCAGGTGGGCCCTTCCAATGCAAATAGCAAAACAAACAGTGGACCCCAAAATAACAATAAAGGCCAACTCTAAAGCTTCTCTATCCAGGAGGAAGAGCCAGCTGATGTAGAGGAGAAGCCCCAGTATGTAGACTAGGAGGAAAAGAGTGGAGAAGAGGTAAGGGTGGTCGATGTGTGAACCGTTAGGACCCTTCCTGCAGTGGAGGGTTAGAGAATAGAGGATCCACAAAGCTTGCCAGGCAAAGACAGCGATGAAGATGTACGCTGACCACGTTCCCTGTGTCAACTCAGTCCGGAACATTTCAGGTTGGAAGGGCGCCAGGAATAAGCCTATAACCGAGAAAGGTTGTCAACAGTCTTATATTAAACATAATTTATTGTTCATAAAGACAAGGGGATTGGGCACAAGTACACCAAGTATTGCCGCTTTCTCCCTGACAGTGTGATATTGTGGAAGATAGTATTTTCTGGATTTATTGATTAGTTGTTTCACTTCAGTATGTTGTAAATACTGCTATTATGTATATTTCAGATAATGCAAAAACTTATTTATTGCATTTATTTCAGATTTATGAAGCAATCATCTTCACTGATGAACCTACACCAACTGTATTTCTCATTCAGGCTGCGTAAATGTTCGAGTGGTTGTTACCTAAGCATCATTAGTGAAGTCTTTTCTTAAGCTCTGCTCGTGGTAATCTTGAAGTTTGGTGGAGTAGATTCACTGTACCTCCCACTCACACCACACGCTCATCTTGGAAGAGGGGGGCACTGGTGGCCCAGTTGTCTAAGGCGCCGCGATTCGCTGTGCAGAGTTGCGTCCCTTGGGCACGCCAGAAACCTATGATTGTGGGTTCAAATCCCGGTTCGCCCAGATTATGTTTCTAGGTTTGTCAGCACCATACCCGTGCCCGTGGGTTTCACCGAAGTGGTAAACGTCTGAGACCTGCATCACTTCGGGCTTTCCTCCCAAATTAAGCTGACACGCCGTGATATAACTGGAATACAGTTAAAAGCGGCGTTCAATCCAACTCACGCACTCTTGGAAGAGACAAGATCAGTATTTTTAAGTTATTATTGTGTTGTATTTATGCAGTATGATATATAAATCACAGTAGGTAATTAATAAATGACTGTATATATTTCATTTCATATTATGTGTATCTGTGTTTTGTCCGAGTTGTGATTGGAACAGTTTGTGTATTCAGTAACTATTATGCAAACTACAGACAAAGACTAAGGGAAAAATTATTTGAATGTGACTTTCGTTAAGGGGTACATTTACAATATAAAAACGTGGCATTGCAACTGAACTCATCATCCAATAACAATGAAATTACACATCATGCATGAACAGCACGCGTACGTGATGCCCTAGCACACAGACGGCAAAGTTTGCACACCTATAAGGGAACTCACAACTATGCAATTGTTTTTTTGTTTATTGTTTGTTTGTTGTTTAACGCCGCACTCAGCAATATTCCAGCTCTATGACGGCGGTTTGTAAATAATCGAGTCTGGACAAGACAATCCATTAACTGACATCATGAGCATCGATACTCGCAATTGGGATACGATGACATGCATCAACCAAGTCACCGATCCTATCCACCCGATCCCGTTAGTCTCCTCTGACGACAAGCATAGTCGCCTTTTACGGCAAGCATGGGTTACTGAAGACCTATTCTGACCCGGATCTTCATGTGTTAAATGTTCACACCGAATACTCTGACATAACGTAAAGAAAAGTTCAGTGAGTGATCATGTCTGATTTTTAACCTGAGGTCTGTTACAGCTATGTTACAGGTTATTTTCACTTTGTTTATTCATTCCAGCAATATGTTACATTTACAGAACAAGCATGGCATGTGATACTGTACATTGTAGACATCATCTTATACGATCTAGTGCAATAGATGTTAAATTATAGCATGATAGAATGTTGTTTTATACTAGATATATACTCAGGCATTATAATCTGTTCATCAGTGCTTGCCACCTATTGTTGAAATTGGGAATGCTATTATTATCCATTGCTATGTATTTCTCAACCCTGAATATGTCCTTCAGGATGTTTGTAAATGGTCCAAGACATACACGGGAGCACGTTTAGTATTCTATATTTCCTAAGTACTAAGAATAAACTGTTTAGAGACAGTGTCGAATACCTTTTCGAAATCAATAAGTAGTAATAACATTATTTTTCTTGTTCAAAAATCGAATCATAAAAAAGTCGCGTATTTTCACTAATAGTTGTCCTAGGAATAAAACCAGTTTGATTTTCATGAACAAGAATATCAGAAGTAACTTTTAGCCTGTTTGTAATGCAAGTATTGATTACTTTATATAAAGAATTCAAAAGAGTTATTTTTCATGTAATATACTGCTTTGGCAATTACTTTCAAATCTAAGTCCTTTTCAAGACTGTTTACCGTTTCTAAGGTATATAACAGCGTTAGGGAAAATGAAGGTTTGTTGTTAGTAATACTGCCTTTGCTAGATACAAGCAGGATTCTGAATAATTCTGCAATCATATCTGTAAACTGGTCATGTGGAACTGGAAGTGTTGTGCTGTGGCTACTGTTGTTACCTGGTACACCTTGCTGAAACGCTGCACCGAACACCGCTGCAGAGATGAAGACCACGACAACGATGGCGTGGAGAGCCGATCTGGTGGCGTGATCATCCTTCATTGTGTGGCCAGACCTTGGGGAGTAAACGTGAGTGAGTGAGTTTGATTTTACGCCGCTTTTAGCAATATTCCAGCAATATCACGGTGGGGGACACCAGAAATGGGCTTCATACATTGTACCCATATCGGGAATCGAACCCGGGTTTTCGGCGTGACGAGCGAACGCTTTAACCACTAGGCTACCCGACCGCCCCGGGGAGTAAACGATGAGTTGCAGGTAACCCTGGTGGTTACACATTACCTAGGTCAGCTATGACGACTTACTTCCCTTGCCAGAGAGGGGCGTTGCAATCGTCTAGTAGCAAAACATCAAGTTGAGGATTTGCTGGAGTGATCATCACTAATTTCTATAAGTTGATTTGAACATTTGGGTTGAGGACAATATACGGAGCATTGTACAACATAATTGATATATCAAGACTCGATTTTTAAACATGATGTTTACAATCTGATTTGCTAATTATTCGAGTTCCAGGCTGATTTTCTGTTCAATACAACTCACCCTGAAAGAGGGGGCGCCACCTAGCGAATGTCGGGTTCAGACGTGCAACACATGAGCTCCGTTGAAACTGGTAAAATACAAAGTTTAAATCGCAAGTTTCAACATATATCTTCTAACCCTTACCATACTTCAAGCCAGTAAACAGGATGGGATGTGATAATGAACTTTATAGATCCAGAATCTGCTGTTTCCAGTCAACCTTGTTCAAGCACGTGCTGCACGTTCCGGCAGGCTCGGGGACCGAGCTACGAGGTGTGTTCGTCTTTTCGTTGCTTTTCATTCTGATAAGCAGCGATGTCGAGAAATACCCAGGACCTCCTAAAAGACAAGTGACTCTTGGTGACGAGTTGAGTCCTAACGAATTTTTGAAAGAAATACGTGAAATGAGATGTGAAATGAATGAGAATTTCAGTATGCTGTCTACGAGAATAGGGAAAATGGAACGTGAATTATCTTCACTAGCAGACGACAGTGAACAGATACAGAACTGACAGAAAGGATTGATTTTCTCGAAGCAAGCAGTCGGAGGAACAACCTGCTGTTTTTCAATGTAAGTGAGACTTCTGAAGAAAAGCCGTCGGATATTGAAAATAAGATTACTAACATCATTGAAAGGACGATGAAAATAGACGAGGACGCCGGGATTGAGTGTGAAGAGACTACCGAGTAAATCACTAGGGGCAAGACCCATTCTTGTGAAGTTCAAAGACTTTAAGTCGAAGTCTACAGTGCTGAAATCAACAGGAAAAACTTAAGGGAACTAAGATTGGGGTTGCAGATGATTTCACGAAGAAAGTGAGAGAATCTAGCGCCAAATTGAAAGACTTCAAGGATGAAGCTCGTGAAAATGGTTTCTCTGTGTTGAGGTCTGATAGTCTGATTATTGACAACAAAATGTAAACATGGGACGATGAATCCAACACAACTAAGCTCGTAAAAACATTCTCAAAAACACGTAAAGCTAAAGAATAAAGGTGTGTCCAAGGTCCTAACAACGTAAATATTATCCCTTTCGTCAAATGTATGTCATGGAACATTGAAGGTTTGAGTAAGCATTTACAGAAATCCGACTTTATTAATTTTATCAACAAATATGATCTAATTTCATTTGTGGAAACATGATGTGATAATGACTGTGTGGACATTCAGGATTATACAGGATTTAGTTCAATACGTGCTAAAACACACGGTGCTATTAGAAACTGGTGGAATCCAAGTTTACATAAAGAAATCTATTGTAAACTTTTGTAATCTCCTTAAAGGTGACTCTTGTAATATAATTTGGTTAGAAATTGACATTCCAGATCATAGAAATGTTTACCATGCAACTGTTTACTATTCACCCGAAGGATCGAGTTAGCATGCAGACGAATCGTTTGTTTGAAATACTAATAGCTGACGTTGCCAAGTTTAAAACGGCATATCAGGATTGTGACATCATTCTTCAGGGCAATTTAAATGCGCGGACAGGTGATGGCTCCTTTTGTGACTACATTGTTGATGACGATACCACATATTTGCCAGTTGATGAAGATGTGGGATGTATTGAGGATATCAAACTTCCACGAGTTTCTCAAGACAAGAGCATCAATAAGCGTGGACGTTTCCTAATTGATATGTGTAAACTAACAGGTCTAAGATTATGCAACGGCAGACTGGGTAAAGATAAAAATATCGGTCTTTTCACATGTTTTGTAAATGATGGCAATAGTGTTGTGGACTACGTTTTGTGCCTTGAAAACACCTTTAACTTCATCACTAATTTTGAAGTACTTTACAGTCGAGTTGAAAGTTCGCACATGCCATTGACCTACTCTTTGGAGTTGACACGGGGTCACGATGACATTCCGCTGGCAGAAATACCACTTCAACCTAGATACGTTACCGTCAAAACTGGGATTGTTTACCAGAAAACCTTGTAAGTACTTTCAATTCATGTATATCCAATGATGACAATCAAAATGCCTTTTCAACATTTCAAAATTTGATTGAATGTTGTGCAGACTTTTGTAAAAAAAACACCAAGATAAATTCGAAAACGCATAAGGATGGGGCATAACTGGTTTGATCAAGAATGTTGGGACGCACGTGCAACCGCTCGCCGTCTTCTCCGTGCATATCATGATTCTAGCAGTGACAACAACCGACAACGGTATATTGACTCGTGGAAGTCGTACAGAAGCCTATGCAAACAGAAATCGACATCTGTGTTTCAGTGTTATATCACAGACATTAACAATGCTTTATCAACGCATAATAGTAGACAGTTCTGGTCTTTTTGTTAAAAAAAGGTAATTTAAAAGTAATTCAAGTTCACCGGATTCTTGGTTATTGGATTTCAATCATCTGTTCCAAGGCACTAATTTTGCTGAATGTGAGAAACAGTTTTATACAGATGTTCAACATTTTGTAGAATCTATTAGTGAAGAGTTGAATAACTCTTCTGTAGATGACAGTGGGTTAGATAGTTGAATAACTTTAGATGAAATATTTAAAGCTGTAAATGATATGCCAAATAGAAAGCCCCAGGGTTTAGTGGTGTACCCATTGAATATTTTAAATATGCCCCTCCCATGTGTTTTGAAATGCTGTTATCCTTGTTTAATAAAATCTTATTGACAGGTACTTATCCAGAGGAGTAGACTTTAGGTGTCATTCTTCCTTTGCATAAAAAGGGTAATGTAAATGACCCTAGTAATTACAGATCTTTTACTCTTTTAGAAATATCTGGTAAAATCTTTGGTAAAATTATATGTACTAGGCTCACCAATTGGGCAACTGATGGAAATGTTATTATCCCTGAACAAGCAGGTTTCAGAAAGGGGTTTCAAACTGTGGATAATATATTTCTACTTCAAACTATTATTGATAAATATCTAAGATTACATAAAGGTAGACTATACTGTGCCTTTATTGATTTAAAAGCAGCCTTTGACTCTGTGTCACATAGTGCTCTGATGTACAAACTTTGGACTGGTAATATTAAAGGTTCTGTTTTAGATTACTTAGAAATATGTATGAAAATGTGAAAACATGCGTATCTCTGAATTCTGGATTTACTAAATTCTTTGACTGTATTAGTGTATTAGTATAGGTACAGTTATTTATGCTGCTTTTTGCAGATGACATTGTAGTAATAGATAGTTCAGTTGTTGGTCTTCAAAGGAGATTAAATAAACTTTCCCAATATTGTGATAAATGGCAGCTGCAAATAAATAATGTCAAGAGCAAGGTAATTGTCTTTCGCAAAGACGGTCCATTAAAGACATATGCATTTCTTTCTCTAAATACATGTCCGTTTGAAATTGTTTCAGTGTATAAATATTTAGGTGACTATCTTTCAAGCTCTGGTTCATGGTTTAATACACAGAAAACTCTCCAGGCCAATAAAGTTTTTCAGTCACTAAAAACAAACATTATCGATTTTCAGAAGTTACTTTTACATGTTTTGACTCATGTATTTGATGTCAAGCTTCTACCAATCTTGTTGTATGGCAGTGAAGTCTGGGGGGTTCATCCTTCACCTGATATTAATACAGTCCATGACAATTTCTGTAAAGAGCTTTTACATTTAAGACGGAGTACACCTAATATTGTTGCAAGGGGGGAGATAGGTTGTTATTCACTAAAAGTAAACCAATATATGAAAATTATTATTGGACTAGATTGTTATTTCAAACTGATAATCCTATTTTTAAACATGTTTATGATTACAAAGTGTCCTTGGCGGATAAAGGTATTGAATGTTGGGCTTTTAATTTAAAAGAATTATTATCATCATATGGTTTTGGTTCTGTTTGGTGTAATCAAGATGTTCCAAATGTAAATATGTTTATTGTTTGTTTTAAGCAAAGATGTATAGATATAGATCAGCAAACTTGGTTAAGTAAAATAAAAACATTTTTCAAAGTTACAATGAATTCACAAATTGAACTATGCATTGTATTAGAAAGATATTTAACATCAATACCTGTTAGAGTATGTCAATTTGCTCTTAGTTCTTTCCGTTGTTCTAGCCATAACCTAATGCTGAAAGAAGGTAGAAAAATTGGTCTTTCTAGAGATGAACGCTTATGTCCATTTTGTCTAGTCCGTGTAATTGAAACTGAGTATCATTTCTGCATTGAATGTCAATTTTACTCAGATCTGAGAAATAGTCTTATACCAAAGAATTACCATTCAAAACCTTCATATGATAAATTCTGCCACGCTTATGTCTTGCCAAAATGAACATGTTATTAATAAATTAGCTAGATATATTTTTCTTGCTTTTAAGAAACGACAACAGTTTTTCAAATGTATGCAATAATTCAATTGTTTCACTATGTATATCACTTGTATTATCTGGCGCCTACTATCGTTGTAATCCACTGTATCCATATTGTATAATGGGCCAGTGGCCTCTTTTGCTGAAATAAACTCACTCACTCACTCACACTCACCCTGAAATTTCAAAATGAAATATACAGTATATACCGTTACACCGACTTCACAACCAGTGGACAGAGAGCAACATGTGGTGATTGCGTAGGTAGACTTACATTTCAACCACGTCACTTGCGTAAGGAGACTGTTTTCAGTACATTCATTGACATCTCCGGGACCACATTCTGGTGGGGACGCTCCTGAAATAGTTCTGCATGGACACGACAGGAGGTTTTGAAATGCGACGTACACGTGAACTGCACATTAAACACTCATTATCTGTATTGTTTACACGTATTCAACAGTGAACGTTTCTGTCATATATTGGTCAGTCGTATATTTATGGATGTAGTAGCTGGTCTTTTTGTACATACAGTGAAAGATAAAAACAAAAGAATACTTCACAAAAAAAGGCTTACAATATTTTCATGGGACAAAAGATCTTTCCTCATTTGCAAATTTAAATAAGAGAAACTTTACATATGCTTAATTAATGAACCAAATAATGTTTCATATTTATGCATGCTTGGAATGATGTGGAATGTTAACGCCTTGTTTTGAATGTATTAATATAATAAATCCTAAATAACCCTGACATTTATCCAGCTATGTGTATAGGCATAGGATATGGATGTGGTCATCCCGATGAAGATTGGCCTCAATGTAGAAAAACTGGTTACCCCATAGGCCACCGAATTCTAATTCACCAATAACTTTTTTTGAGTGATGGTACCCTCCATATATATGTTGTAAAGACAACATGCTATGATACGTTTTGAGAATGCATGATTTTGTGATATTTGAAGCAGATACATTTTTGGCAGCGTGCTACTGCAACAATATGAATCGAAACCGCATATTGCTCTCATGTGGCAGTGATTGATACAGTATTTGCTCACAAGCAAGTGTTCGATTGGATTAGAGTCATTAAATCCCAAACTTTCCAAAAAGAAGTAAATTATTAAATATTTCAATAACTTTAACTAATACCTATGAGATGTTGTACTGACCTATGTACCTATGAGGTGTTGCGCCTTCACAAAAGAGTGAGTGAGTGAGTTTGGTTTAACGCCGCTTTTAACAGTATTCCAGTTATATCGCGGCGTGTCAGCTTAATGTGGGAGGAAAGCCCGAAGTGATGCAGGTCTCAGACGTTTACCACTTCGGTGAAACCCACGAGCACGGGTATGGTTCTGACAAACCTAGAAACATAATCTGGGCGAACCGGGATTCGAACCCACAATCATAGGTTTCTGGGGTGCCCAAGGGACGCAACTCTGCACAGCGAATCGCGGCGCCTTAGACGACTGGGCCACCCGTGCCCCCTTCACAAAGAAGGAGTGGTTGTGCGTTGTGTTTAACGCTGCTTTAGACAATATTTGCGTGTCAGGTAAATGGGGAAGAGAAATGGCACATACCTTAGACGTGTTTAGTAGACGTTTCTTGGGCTAATGAAGAGAGTTTTGTCGCATGTATTGATGCTACGGCCAATGGAGAGTAGGAACTAGTCATTGCACCGACGTAACTCACTAGTTAAACGTACTTACTACCATCACAGGGCCGATATAATAATGTCAACGCGCATGTTGACGGGGAATTAGCTCTTGGGGGAATAAAGGACAAAATCGACATCACTGTCCCGGAACGCTTTATGCACAACATGTAAACAATAAACAACAATTGCACAATGAGCGGAATACCTGCTCTGACAACACCAACACATGGATGAGCGGACCTTCCAGCTTAGGTGTACAAGAGGTGAGCGGAGCTCCAGCTAACCTCAGGGCGTTTTCTACGAGCGGCACATCCTGCTCGAGGTCGTCCCTACACCAGCACTCGGAATACCAAGCCTGACTAACACCGTAGTAACTGTGTAATGGTAGCACATATATAGTACTGAACAATGGAAATACAATAACGTTGCTCTGGACATGGGACTTCCGGGGGCGACGTACCGACACAACTCAGGGGATGAACAATTAAGGCAATAAATGTCATACTATAAATAACAGTAATTAACGGGAAGTGATAAAGTAGCCCAGTTTGGCTCTCAGTCAATATACAATGAAATGTTGGTGAGGATTAACAACGGGTATTAGCGCCTAAAACGTAATGACAATTAAGTTATGGAGACATGGCTACAGGGTAATTTGCCTTTGGAGTCAAATGTACTTCAGACAATGGTAGTCGTAAATCAGTCGCTATGACAATACTGAGGCGGGGTCTAGTCAATAAGCAACACCAAATACTACTTTCCCTACATATTCACGTAGTTATGCATGGAAACGTATTAGTCTAAAAATACCATCTACGTAGATGAAGGTATTATCTACGTAGAGATTACAAAATGTAGACTGTTGCACAAGTACGGTTCCAAGGTACATTTGAGACCGATGAATTGCTTACTAACTCAAAATCTAATAATTGCAACAAAACCAAAATGTGCACAGCGACATGAATTGGACAGACCAACTCTGATGGTTTGTCTCATAATTTTGGACACCCGAAAATTTTTTTTATTGTCACTGCTGTACAGTGTGTGACACGAAAATAAATATTTTCTTCTTCTTCTTCTTCTGTATAATGACGGTCGCTAACCATATATGTGTATTTTTCGTGTTTTTGGCTTGATTTGGTGAAAACAAATGTTCAATTGTGAAAGCAAATCCTTTTCCCCTGAACGTTAAAAGACAGCTGACTTTGTTTTTGTCTGAAATATCAACGTTGGAGTCGTTTATATATTCGGAAATCCATATTATGGTTAATATTTATAATATAATATGGACAATGGTAAAATTCATTATCACAGTTTAAGTGCTATTCACAAATGTATGTAAATCTACTTCGTGATGAATGAAGCATGGCAATAAATGTATGCATCTGATTCTTCATTTGTTCTGTATTCTTTGACGAGAATGAGTTTCGATAATGATGATCACTCTCACAGATTTTTTGATAAGAGGATAGGACTTTAACTGGAGAATAGTTATGAAAAATATATATATAAGTATAGGCGGTCTGTGCACATGTGGTGAAACTGATACCTCATTGATTTGCTAATCGGGACTTGGAAATCATAGTCTGTCATTAAATTGATTTTAAAATATATGGTTTTGACTGTAGAACGTCCTGACATCATAATATTATGTTGTAAACAACTTATCTTATCTTATGTTAAGTAAAACAATCATTGATAACTTCCTGAATTCCAATTGTTCAATGAACAGAATTATTCACAGCTCTGGCGTGAGACAACAATAAATTAGATGTTACCAAAGATTGTCCATTTTATGATCTTAGGCACATGTCGGCGCAGTTACATGTGAGCCGTCTAGACAACTGTCTGTTTTGTAATTCAATGGCAGCTGCCATCCAGCCGAATACTTAATCTTGAGACCTATTAGTTGTCTCAGCACTACACAATCAGCAATCTAAAAAACAAAAAAAAATTCTCATCCTAACCGACTCCCTCGGTGGACTACAAGCCCTCAAAAATAAAAACACTAAAAACCACCCCAAACTAATAAATCAAATACTCAATAGCTCAAACAACTTAACTAGGGCAGGTAAACAAATAGAGTTCATTTGGACCCCCGCCCACGTAGGAATCTTTGGAAATGAAAAGGCATATAAAGCAGCAAAATTATCCCTTAAACTCCCAGAAATAAGCTTAAACTTACCCAGCTCAAAATCAGAAATCAAAAGTCTCACTAAACAAAAAAAACAAAAAATGGCAAAATATATACCAAAAATTAAACAGACAAATCAGGAAAGTACCAAAAAAACCTAAATAAACCAAAAATACTACACCCATCCAAAAAAATCGACAGAATAATTACTAAACTACAAACAGGCCACACCAAACTAAATAACCACCGTAAAATAGCTAATCTACACACAACAGGAAACTGCCCACATTGCAAACAACAAGAAACACCAGAACACGTACTCATTCACTGCACACACTACCAAACACACCGAACAACACTACAGACCACCCTAAATCTTAAAACCGGACTTACACTAGAATCAATCCCAAATCCACAAAATAAATTAGAAAAATTCAAAGCCTTAGGTTTATACCTAATTAAAACAGGACTAATTAGTCGCATTTAAACCTCAAATAAAATATTAAAACCAAAACTACCTTATCTAACAACCACCCGACACACTTAGCTCCCTTAGTTCGTCCCCCACCCATTCTTGGCATTCTTTCCAAATCTCAAAATTTCAAAATTACTATATAAGCAACCCCTAAAGCCCCCCCCTCCTGGGTTGCACAAACTCACTTTTCCCCTTTTTGGAAACACATTAAATGGCCTGGCCGGGCCCGTGTGCGACATACGCTTGCAGTCGGAAAGCGCACGTTAAATATCCAATTTAAGTAAGTAAGTAAGTGTCTTTTCGAGTCAAGTGCGGGTCTCTCTCTCACCTTAGGGAGAATGCGACTGTAAAAGCCCCTCGCTAGACAGACAAGTAGTGAATGTTTGAGATAAATTTATTATTTATTATATATAGTTTAACCTCAAAAATTAATTCATAGTCTTTTTATTGTTCAAATTACTGATAAAACATATTTTAACTTGTTCCTTCTAACCATATTTCCAAACAATTCCAAACCATTCGAAACCATTCCAAGTCATTCCAAACATTTCCTGTGTTGGAAATATGTTTGGAAATGTTGCCATTCCAATTTGGGATTTTCTGGAAAGATCGATCCTTCCAAGCTTTGGAAAGTTTGGAATGAGCGATCTTTCTAAAGCATTCCAACGTTCATTCCAAATTGGAATCCCCGGTGTTAATCTTCACCAACATTTCATTGTATTGTGACTGTCAGTCAGCCTGGACTACCATATCACTTCCCTTTAACTACTGCTTTTTATAGTATGACATTTATTGCCCTAATTGATCTTCCCCTAACTGTGTCGGTTAATCACGCCCATATGTCCAATGTCCAAAGCAACGTCGTTGTCTCTTTGTCTGTCCATTGTTGTTCATTATATATATTGTTGTTCTATATATGTGTTATTATTATATGGTGTTAGTCAAGCTTGGAATCCGGACATGGGTGTAAGGACGACCTCGATCAGGATGTGCCGCTCGTAGGAAACGTCCTGAGGTTGAGCTGGAGCTCCGCTCACCTCATGTATGCCTGAGCTGGAAGGTCCGCACATCGCCTTGTTTGTGTTGTCAGA